ATGTAGTCAATGGGAATTCCAGGGTCCTAAATGGAGGTACTGTACCATATAAAGCCATATTTTGGGTGTGTATCCCCTTACATAGCCCTTACATAATTACATAGGCCTTATATCCTTATATATCATGATATGGTAGGTACCTCCAATTGATTAATGTGACAACTGGGATGAAGTCCTCCACGATATATGTTTTATTTGCCAAATATTTCTTCAGGTGGTTCAAAACAGCCACCAGTCCGGGGAATAGCAGCCATGGTACTTTGCCCAGTGGTCATGGGACCACGATGTATATATTGTACTCTACACACACATTATATATATACACACACTGTATACTGTATTATGCTGTGCAAGGGAATAGCATCACCAACAGCTGAGACAGTGACTTGGTGAGTTCCAAGTTTATTTTTCGTATCTAACTGGGGGCAATGTGCTATCCGACTGAAAGACATTTTATTTATTCAGATCAACAGGGTGTTTCAGTGATCTTTTCTGTCAGAGTATCCATGATCATTAGATATTTTCTGGTAAAAACGTTGAATCTTTGGGATCCTTAAGGTCAGTTTGGTTACCATCTGGTTATTTAACATAGCCATGGAAAATCCCTCATAAATGGAGGTTTTAATGGAAAAATCATCCATAAATGGGACATTTTACATGGCTATGTTAAATTACCGGGTAAATCTTTAAAAATCTTTGAAGTTTCTCTTAGGACCCACAGATTTCGGGTCAAAACTGGCGACCTGAGGCCACTTCAACGACGCCGTGCTGACCGTTTCAGAGCTGGAAGCACGGCCACAGGTGCTGCTGATTGGCCAGTCACCTGGCTGAAGACAAACAATTGGCTACATTGATATCCATTGATTGAGGTACCCTCTGGTAATTTAACATAACTATGGTTAAAATCACCATTTTTTATGGGAAAATCCACTATAAATGGCCATTTTTAATAGCTACATTGACATGGGTCATTAAATGTCCCCATTGAACATCACCCAACCATGAATGGTATATGGCATCTATGGTCTACTAGACGGCGACTTTTTCAGGTGATGTCCAATATTCCCAAAATGGGACAGTTACCAACCCCTGATTGATATCCATTGATTGAGGTACCCTCTGGTAATGACTAACATAACTATGGAAAGATCCACCATTTTTTATGGGAAAATCCACTATTTCTATGGCCATTTTTAATATCTATGTTAGTTTACCAGAGGGTACATTGATATCCAGGATGATATCAATGATATCCATCAAAAACATCTGAGGTACATTGATATCCATCAAAAACAATTTTTCCGAAAGAAATTATTTGGTTCGCTGATCTGTGTACAGTGATATCCAGGATGATATCCAGAATGATAGCAATGTCACCCAGGTTAACCACTGGGGATATTATGGGATATACCATCTGTTTTTTCAAGTGGGAGATTCCATCAACTGGGGATATATGCCATCATATGATATCTTCTGTGCCATTGGATGAAAACGATTCAAAATTTCGGGGTAGCTGTGCTCGCGGCTGAGGTACAGCACAGGCAAAGCTGGGAGAATGTTTTTGCGACCCAATGCCATGGACTAGGCCAATCATTTGGGGATAGTTCACACGACCAATTTATAGTGACTTTGGAGATTGTTGGTCGTTTTGTGTTTACATGTGTTTACTACATAAAGATCGAAGCCTGGTTTAGTCACCTCTATTCAGATGGGGCCCAAGAGATCGGTATGTGTAGTTTTTTTGACTGGTGGTTTCAAATGTGTCTTCATATTCCATCCTGTTGATGATGAATCCCGTTGACTTTGATGTTTTTGCAGACGGCAGATGTGTCGAAACAAAACTTCTTGGGGCAGATGCGTCGTTTTACAAAACGAGCAGGTCCAGAATTCATCATTGTTGTTTCAAGATGCGTCATATTTATTCATGGTTATCTAGTGTTATCTATATATATGCGCACGCATGCGTTCACGGGACAGGCCCTTCTACATGACTATGCAAATTTAGTTGATGATACCTACCCAACACAAATTGAACCCACCATCGTCTTGTGTTCAAATACACCATGTCTATCGGATTGACGCACCGTGGGCCACCGGTGCTTGCATATGCATCCCAGCAAGTGGTGTACAACCCATTTGTCCCCCATGTGTCACAAACGATATTCCGTCTAATTATATACAACCGGGATATCCCACCTGTTGATGCAAATGGGATATTCTACACACACACACATATATATATACATACATATAGTAAGTGGGTTATAATACTAATATTTACTTATTCCCCACTCAAGGGGAAAAACAACTATTGAACTGGGATGCCAAGTCGTCCTTCAAGTGGCAGGTAAAACCTCGTTGATCAAATGGGTCACCGGCATCAACAGCGCCTTCTTCGATATCCGACCGCAGCCCAGTACAGACAAATTCATGGCTGTGGTGCATGGCGATGAGGAGATCCGGAGATATTTGGAGTGGAAGGAGGTCGTCTTTGGGGAACGAAAATGATACTGTGGATGGTTGCGAAATCCTGCACCAGTTGAAAACGGTTGTTTATCCCATTAATATCCCATTATTTTGGGGGTTTCAACCATCCTTTCGGTGGTGCAGGATTTCGCAACCATCCAATCGTGGTTGAATCGGTAGGAATTGCGCTTCTTAAGCAACACAACGAAACAGTGTGTTTTTCAGTTGTAAGACTGAAACTATATACTACAGCATAGCTGAGTTTACAAACAAAGAGGTGATGCATTACCAGTGATGGAGATGGGATTGTGAAGAATCCAGAGAATGGACGGATAAAATTCCATTTTTGTCACATTTGAAATCATCAACTTGTGAGCATGTGCAAGCTCATGCAAGCTCTAAATCCATGTAAACCCACCAAACAACACATCCATAATTTATATATATATGTATGCACACACATACATATATATCTATATTCATATCCTATACATATGCATATATAATTTCATGCAGAAACCATGCCCCTGCCCTGCAAGTTCCTTCCCTCACCTGCCACCAGGAGAAGGTCATCAACGGAGATGCAGCCACCTGCCTGCCGAAGCTGCCATACAGCGGGCTCTCACGCTTTGGTTCCTCCTTCCTCAGTAAGCTCCGTGGCGTATCTGGATATATAGTTACCCTCTGGTTATGACTCACATAGCCATGGAAAATCCCAACCATAAATGGAGGTTTTAATAGGAAAATCATCTATAAATGGGCTATTTTCCATGGCTATGTTAAATAACCAGAGGGTAATTGGTAAGTGAGTATAGCTAGTTGGTACATTTTGGTATTGTATATCAGATGGGATGCAGAATGATGCATGATATGCACCTTATATATATATATATATCCATATAGTATCGATCGATATCATATAATAGCATATAATATGTTCTTATGAAGGATTGATTTGTTTGAAGTTTTGGAGGGCTTTCGTATTTGGTGGTTTTGTGTGCGTGTTTCCCTAAACATGGAATGATGACCCAGGTGACGTGCATATTATATATAATATTATTGTTCACAGGGGTCCAACCACCAATCCAGAAAGCCGTTCAAACCAATCGGACGGATACCAGGTATCCAATACCATCGCATTCCCGGCTGATTCTAAAGCCTCCCAAGTTCTCTCTTAGACTCTTAGATGGTACATATATATATATATATATATATATTTACACTATACATATGTGATTATATATATTAATGCCAACATCGGATTAATCAACCCCCCACAAGATCACATAGACCTTGTCAAGTCTTTCCTAGTTTTCCCCTAAATAAACGGCCCCGGAACCATAAAATGTTGGATATGGTTTGGAATCCATAAAAGTCAATTAGAGTTTCATAGAATTCCATTGGATTTGATAAGATTTGAGTCTTAAAATCTCATGGAGGTTGATTAATAAGGGGAACCCTGGTCATTATTATTAATGGGGGACATGGACTCATGGGGGGTACCCTTTGGGAGCTATCCAAATTGATGTGTTTTTTTTTAAAATAAAGAATTTAATTGGAAATCGATCATTTGGGGAATAGTTTTTTTTTTCAAATTTTCAATGATCAGCAGTGATGGTTTCTGGTGTTTATGAGGTTTCAACTTAAGTATAGCATAAGCAAACCATTTGAAAATAAAGGGAGTTAGACAATAAAACAAAACCTTAAGAATAACAATGAGACATGATGACAAACAAAAAGACTTGAACGTAGTTAAAAAAAATGGATAAACAAAATTGGATTTCAGCACAGGGGGTTGATTAATAATGTCCTAGCCAAACGGTTTATGAATCCTGGGGGACCACCTGTGTGTAAATTACATTTTTTTGGGGCAGAGAGGGGGTTGATTAATATCGCGGGGGTTATTAATCCTAACTTGACAATATACATATTATATATATACATATATATTATATATATATATACATATATATTATATATATATATATACACATATATATTATATATATACATATATATATAACTTATATAACATATTCAATATTCTATCCTTGATATGTGCTCTATCAGACTCTTGGGTGATATGTCTATCCCACAACTCTCCCACGACTCGTCCAAGTCCTTTCAGGTTCCAAGTGCTTGTGGAGGACGCCGACATCCTAAAGCAGATCACCTTCATCGATACCCCTGGGGTTCTGTCGGGGGACAAGCAGCGCATCAGCCGAGGCTTTTCGGTGAGCCGTTAAAATGTTTCGGACAAAAAAACGAAGGCTTTAAAGCGGATCTACAATTCAGAAATGGATGTTAACTGGATGTTTAAGTGCATGTTTCCGTTGATCAGATATCGAACATGAACATGTATATTTGATCCTTGCGTTCTAAGTTGAAACCATCCCACCTTGGTCTTGGTGATCTTGGTGCTCGGTCCGATCGGAGCCGCTGAGGCTATGACTTCATGAAGGTCTGCAGATGGCTGGCCTCCCGATCTGATTTGATCCTGCTGCTCTTTGATGCGCACAAGCTGGAGCCTTGAGATGCCTTGAGTCATGATCCCCATGGTTGATGGTTGTTTCAATACAAAATAATGGTCATTTTTTCTTGGATGATTTAGGGGTACCCCGTATGTGTTTGTTTCCAAGGGGATCTTGGCCCCAGTTAGGAGCCCAGTTCTTCACAACTGTTCAGGAACTCACCTGGGCGAAGAAGTCTCCTGAATGAAAGCAGATTAGTATAGTTAAGTGGTCCCATGGTAACCGCATGTTCAGCAGTTATGAAGGGACAATTCCAACAGTAGGAGTTTTTGGAGAGCTATTGCCATAGTTTAAAACCTCTGGATCTTGCTGTGTCAGTGCAAGAAAAATCCAAAGTCCCACAATGATTTGCCCGTTTTTGAGTGAGCATGGCGATGGCAACACCATCGTCTTCAAGAGGAAAGTGCAATTGATACCACTTGCAGATGGTCCATGATTGGTTAATTCAGAGTCTTACTGTATATCGCAATTCTGGTCACTTGAGTATTAAAACTCGGATTTCGAAGTCTTGGTTTGTTAAAATGAACCAACATGCACTACACCCGCCGAGAAATACACCAAACTGGCAGTGAACAATCTCCAGTTGGCAAATAGGCCCCATCAAAGGGGATTTGCAGCAAGCCAGGTTCGATTACCAGAGGGAAACTTGCATCACAACATGTCATAACATGTCATAACTTAGGTTAGCTTATCTCCAACTTCAGTTATATCTTCAGCTATCTCTCTTTAGACAATCCCATGTTATCCCGATTATCAGATCAGGAAAAAAAACCTTTTGTGGGGGTTCCGTGTTGGACTTCAGAGGGTGAACTTGGCTCCTCCCCTACTTCATCAGCCAGGCATTTAATCAGGTATAAATATTATAAATATTTATATATTCTGTATATTTCTATATATTTCTATATATTTTCTATATAAAATGTCAATGTTTTCACTTGTTCCACGCTGATTCGCACTTTCGTGACTTTCGTGCCACCGGGCCAATTTCTCGCTTTTTTTCCCTTCGCCCAGGACATCTCCGATGAATTCAAGGAGGTCATCGAAAGTATCAAAGGCGACGGCGACAAGTGCCGATGTGTCTTGAACAAGGCGCGGAACATGCGGAACCGGGCCCCACATGGCCGGAAAGTCCTGCTATGGACCGTTAGTAAAAAACCATTATATAACTATAATGGTAATAACAATGGTAATAAATAACCATGGTAATAAGAATATTTCTCGATAATTAGTAGCCATGTCTAGTGGTAATATGTGCTATTCACTCATATTTAAGCGGTTATATAGCCGTGAATAACCATGGCTATTTCTGCTTGTGTTAAGTTCTGTCGTTTGAGCTTCCAGGCACAGGATTTAGATTGGTCTTGATTTTGATGGACACAACACGAAGAGATGTTTATCTGGTTGGTGGTTTCAAACATGTGTTATTTTCCATTTCATATATGGGTTGTCATCCTTCCCATTGACTTCCATATTTTTCAAGATGCTTGTTGCACCAACAACCAGTGAATATTTTTTTCCAGAGGATTGATGGGGCAACCAGCAAAAATGGAAGGTTTCCATCTGCCTGGTATAGCTGGCATCATGTCGTTGTGATAAGATCTATGGAATCTATGGAGAACCCAAGGTTTATGTGTAGAACGTGCTTTATCTGGCTAATGTTTTTCAATATGTTGGAGTGTTTCGATATCTGTCCTACCTGGAATGATCAAAAATCATCCCAAGAAATCCAGCCATGGAGCTGCGGTACCCTTCAAGTGGGGGACCCCCGAGTCACCATGGAGCTGTTTTAATATGTTCTAATACTTAAAATGGTCAAATGACTTAGATGATTTGGGCGTAGGGCATATGATATCATTAATCTTCCATTCATATCCCATTAAATCATCTTAAATCATTGCACAACGGTTAATTCCCATCAAACAAATCATTAAACACAGTTAACTTAATGGATCTTAATGGTTCATTTAACATCATTAATCCACCTTAATTTAACATCATGAAACCACTATAATTTTCCATGAACTCCACCGCCGTGGAGCCGAGGCAGATGAGATCGATGGAGAAAACTTGGTCAAGGCGAGCTGCGATGTGGTAAATCCCTGGTACCCTCTGGTAAACTAACAGTTTGCTATTGAAAATGGCCATAGAAATAGTGGATTTTCCCATTAAATATGGTGATTTTAACCATAGTTATGTTAAATTACCAGAGGGTAGATGTGGAAAAACCCATGGCTTTCCCATTCGGAAAAATCGGCAGCAAATGAGGTTGAGTTTCCACCGCATTTTTTTCATAGGGAAAACATGATGGTTGAGGGATAACAGATAACACCATTCAAAATCCTGTGAAACAAGAATCCTCGTGGGTATGTCTGAAAATGGTGGTATATAACCCCAATCATGATTAATTAATTATTTCATGGGGAACTATGATGTTTCATCAGTGGGGAGAGATGGGACACCCTATTGTCATCAATTTTCATCTACTTTCAGACAAAGCCATATGAGATGCGGAGATACTGGCCAAAGTTTGGGTTTCCCCAGGTTTGGGATGTTTCTTGTTGGATGTGCTGGAGATGATTGCTGAATTGATGGGAATAATAGGCTGTAGTGGAAAAACCAGTGGTTAGGAAGGAGCGGAGCCCGGCCACCTGTTAGCGAATTTTGGCTGGGAGCATCACCAATTTGTACCACTCTTGCTTGCAAAATCCCAGCATGCTTGGGAAATCATGAAAAAAACAACATTTTTAAATATTTTTTTGCATGTCAAATCCTTCTTGAATCCCTGACTCCGGACACCGGCTTGGAGGTGTATGGAGCCCTGATGTGGAATCTTGGAAAGATCCTGCAGACGCCAGAGGTCGCGAGGATGTACGTAGGATCCTTCTGGGACGACGACTACAAGTGCAAGGACCGAGATGGAGCTGTGGTCGCCTCCAACTGGTAGTTTTCATGACCAGTCTGGGGTAGGGCACCCTCAAAAGCAAATTATCACCATTAAAAAAAAATGGGGTTCCGGGTAACAGCCTTAGTCAATTCACGAGTTTATTCATTTTGTATTATATTATCAAGGGTCCACATGATGAGATTGTCAATCAGTGGTTAAACGCGAACACACGGAGGCTTTGGAGGGCTTCGACATGCTTCGACCTGTTCGGACACAGCAGTTGGGCTTCTTGTGTAGATGACATAGGCACGGAATAGTGTACACTATTGTACACTGTATAGTGTACACCCTATCAAAATACACTGTATCAAAATCATGACACTATGAATCACAGTGAATCACAGTGATCATTGATGATCATTGGCTGTTTTCATGAGTCACTTCCTGCCAAAACCCACAAAAAAGTGGTCTATGTCCCCTGGTTTTCCCTAAGATCTAAATATATTTATACTGTACGTATCTGTACGTAATGTATCGTATCTATGTATTGCAATGTAATCCAATCCAATCCAACCCGAATCTAGATAATCTATGATAATCTAATCTAATCTACATGTGCACATATGTACACACACAATATATGTTAACATATAATTACATATATGGTATGGAAATAGACCATTTATAGATGATTTGGCTATTACAGATTGTGATTTTCCATAGCTATATGTTAGTTTACCGGAGGGTAGTAATAATATGTTTTTTTTTTTCCAAAAAATCAGATTTACATACGGGGTCACATGAGTTGGTGCCACGCCATTTTTTTTTCCACGTCTTGACGTCTGAGGACTTGGAGCGCTTGTTGAACCAAGACCGCAAGGTGCCAATTCTAGGGGATTTCATGGGAATATTCATGGGATTTCATGTGATTTACTGGGGTTTAATTTATATCATGGGGATTTGGTGATGATTAGTGGATATTACTGGGGATTTAATTGGAATCCATGTGATTTTAGCCAGCAACACTGGTGATTGGATGATCTGAGCTGTGCTTGTATCCGAATCCATAGATATCCATAGTATGGAGCCAAGGAGTTAAGTACTAAGAGTTTCCCAAACAGATGATTGCGGTTGTATTGTTTTCTGCTTAGATGCTCTTTAGACGATCGGTAAGTCCTGGTAAGTGATCAACAAACCGGAACAAGCACCCGACAGTCAACCAGCATTTTGAAAGCTTGTATCCTGGGGTCTTCCAGGGTACGATACAAGGCCTGGATCAAATTGGACTATAGTGACTATAGTGATGGAATCTCCCAATCCCAGTATATATATATATCCCAGTATTTTTTACTGGCATCAATATATCACAGTATTACTGGCATCAAAAATATTGGTGGTATATTAATGTAGATTAATGGTACTATATCAATCATCCAATCTTCCCAACGATGACCTCCCCAAACAGAAACCCCATGAGCTGGACCGGTGGGAATCTCAGCAGAAAAAAACATGTCCCATTTAAAGTGGCTAAACATGGATGATTGAAAGATACTGATCAACACCTTTTAAAGGGGTGGATGATTGACAATATGTTTCTCTTCATGATGAAAAATGTTCGCTGCCCTCCGGTAATTTTTCACATACCTATATATTGAAAATCATCACTTTTAATAGGCAAATCATCTATACATGGCAATTTTCCATGGCTAGGTAACAAAACTAGACGACGGTTGGCCCGAGAGCGAAAAACACGTCCTTCAAGCAGCTCTGAGTATGGTAGTCGTAAAAAATAGTCGGTGAATGGTTGGTGAATTTGATATGAGCTATGGAGGGGAAAGTTGTGAAATTACACACAGACGCTTTTACACACAAACACTTTCACAGACGCGTTTACACACAGAGACTTTTACACACAGACGCTTTTACACACAGACACTTTTACACGCAGACGCTCTTACACAGAAGCTTTTACACACAGACTCCTTTACACACAGACGCTTTCACAGACGCGTTTACACACAGAGACTTTTACACACAGACGCTTTTACACACAGACACTTTTACACGCAGACGCTTTTACACACAGAAGAAGCTTTTACACACAGAAGCTTTTACACACAGACACTTTTACACACAAACGCTTTTACACACAGACCCTTTTACACACAGACCCTTTTACACACAGACGCTTTTACACACAGAGGCTTTTACACGCAGATGCTTTTACACACACACACTTTCATACACAGAGGCTTTTACACACAGAAGCTTTTGAAGAGTGTCTCTAAATGACATTTTATGGTCCTGAACTCAAACTGTTCTGTTTTTGACATCAAGCACATGATGGCATCGAGCTCTGTTGCAAACGTTTGCAGACATTTCACTAGTGAAGTATTGTCACATGTGTCATTTACAGCATCATGGTACCGATCTTTTTTGGGCCATTTATGTGGGATTTTCCATAATAAAATGAAATAACATGTGTCATACGCAGCATCATGGTACCGAGCTTTTTTGGGCCATTTATGTGGGATTTTCCATACTAAAATGAAATGACATGTGTCATACACGGCATCATGGTACCGAGCTTTTTTGATAGTTTCTGTGGGATATTCCCAGAATAAAATGAGATAACGCGTGTCATTTACTGCATTATGGTATTGGACCTTTTTTTTGTGCAAACGTTTGCAGACATTTCACTAGTGAAGTCTTGTCACATGTGTGATTTACAGCATCATGGTACCGATCTTTTTGGGCCATTTATGTGGGATTTTCCATAATAAATTGAAATAACATCTGTCATGCACGGCATCATGGTACCGAGCTTTTTTGGGCCATTTATGTGGGATTTTCCATAATAAAATGAAATAACCTGTGTCATACACAGAGGCTTTTACACACAAACGCTTTTACACGCGATGCTTTTACACACACACACACACTTTCACACACAAACGCTTTTACACACAGACGCTTTTACACACAGAGGCTTTTACACACAGTCGCTTTTACACACAGACGCTTTTACACACAGACACTTTTACACACAGACACTTTTACCCACAGAAGCTTTTACACACAAACACACACACACACGCTTTTATTTTACACACACACACGCACTTTCACACACAGAGGCTTTTACACACAGACGCTTACACAGAGACTTTTACACACAGAAGCTTTTACACCCACACACACACACATACACACACACACACGCTTTTCTTGTACACACACACTTTCACACACAGAGGCTTTTACACACAGACGCTTACACAGAGACTTTTACACACAGACGCTTTTACACACAGACACTTTTACACGCAGACGCTCTTACACAGAAGCTTTTACACACAGACTCCTTTACACACAGACGCTTTCACAGACGCGTTTACACACAGAGACTTTTACACACAGACGCTTTTACACACAGACACTCTTACACGCAGACGCTTTTACACACAAATGCTTTTACACACAGACGCTTTTACACACAGGCGCTTTTACACACAGACTCCTTTACACACAGACGCTTTTACACACAGAAGCTTTTACACACAGACGCTTTTACACACAGACGCTTTTACACACAGACGCTCTTACACACAAACACTTTCACACACAGAGGCTTTTACACACAGAAGCTCTTACACACAGAGGCTTTTACACACAGAAGCTTTTACACACAGGCGCTTTTACACACAGACGCTTTTACACACAGACGCTTTTACACACAGACGCTTTTACACACAGACGATTTTACACACAGACGCTTTTACACACAGACGCTTTTACACACAGACGCTTTTACACACAGACACTTTTACACACAGACACTTTTTACACACAACACTTTCACACACAGAGGCTTTTACACACAGAAGCTTTTACACACAGAGGCTTTTACACACAGAAGCTTTTACTCACAGGCGCTTTTACACACAGACGCTTTTACACACAGACGCTTTTACACACAGAAGCTTTTACACACAGACGCTTTTACACACAGACGCTTTTACACACAAACGCTTTTACACACAGACGCTTTTACACACAGACGCTTTTACACACAGACCCTTTTACACACAGACAATTTTACACACAGACGCTTTTACACGCAGAGGCTTTTTGCACACAGACGCTTTTACACACACACACACTTACACACACACACTTTCACACACAGAGGCTACTACACAGAGGCTTTTACACACAGAAGCTTTTACACACAGACTCCTTTACACACAGACGCTTTTACACACAAACGCTTTTACACACAGAAGCTTTTACACACAGGCGCTTTTACACACAGACTCCTTTACACACAGACGCTTTTACACACAGAAGCTTTCACACACAGATTCTTTTACACACAGACGCTTTTACACACAGACGCTCTTACACACAAACACTTTCACACACAGAGGCTTTTACACACAGATGCTTGCACAGGGACTTTTACACACAGACGCTTTTACACACAAACACTTTCACACACAGAGGCTTTTACACACAGAAGCCTTTACAAAGAGACTCCTTTACACACAAACGCTTTTACACACAGAGGCTTTTACACACAGACACTTTTACACACAGACCCCTTTACACGGAGAGGCTTTTACACACGGAAACTTTTACACACAGACACTTTTACACACAGACACTTTTACACAAAGAGGCTTTTACACACAGACGCTTTCACACACAGACGCTTTTACACACAGACGCTTTTGCACAAACGCTTTTACACACAGACTCTTTTATACACAGACGCTTTTACACACAGACGATTTTACACACAGACGCTTTTACACACAGACACTTTTACACACACAAAAGCTTTTACACACAAACGCGTTTACACACAGAAGCGCTTTTACACACAGACACTTTTACACACAGACGCTGTTACACACAGACCCTTTTACACACAAACACTTTCACACACAGAAGCGTTTACACAAAGACTCCTTTACACACAGACGCTTTTACACACAGAAGCTTTTACACACAGAAGATTTTACACAAAAACAAAACTTTCACACACAGACGCTTTTACACAGAGGCTTTTACACAGAGGCTTTTACACAGAGGCTTTTACACACAGACGCTTTTACACACAACAGACACTTACACAGACACTTTGAAACACAGACGCTTTTACACACAGACGCTTTTACACACAGACCCTTTTACACACAGACGCTTTTACACACAAACACTTTGACACACAGACGCTTTTACACACAGATGCTTTTACACACAGACGCTTTTACACACAGAGGCTTTTACACACAGAGGCTTTTACACACAGACACTTTTACACAGATGAAAGCGTTGCGATTGACTAAGAAAAATCGCAATTTTTCCTCAGTTGTTGACGTCCAACGTCCATTTCGTGCGAAAGGGTTACGATTGAGCAAGTAAAATCGCATTTTTTACTCAGTTTTTGACGTCCAACGTCCATTTCGTGCGTAAGGGTTGCGATTGAATAAGTAAAATCACAATTTTTCCTCAGTTTTTGACGTCCAACGTCCATTTCGTGTGTAAGGGTTGCGATTGAATAAGTAAAATCGCATTTTTTCCTCAGTTTTTGACGTCCAACGTCCATTTCGTGCGAAAGGGTTGCGCGGGACGCTTCAAAGTCGCAATTTTTCCTCAGTTTTTGACGTCCAACGTCCATTTCGTGCGAAAGGGTTGCGCGGGACACCTCAAAGTCGCAACTTTTCCTCAGTTTTTCACGTCCAACGTCCATTTCGTGCGAAAGGGTTGCGCGGGACACCTCAAAGTCGCAACTTTTCCTCAGTTTTTGACGTCCAACGTCCATTTCGTGCGAAAGGGTTGCGCCGGACGCTTCAAAGTCGCAATTTTTCCTCAGTTTTTGACGTCCAACGTCCAGTTTCGTGCGTAAGGGTTGCGCGACACTCCCCAAAGTCGCAATGGTTCACTCAGTTGTGAGTCACCGTCCATTTCGTGCAACAAGAGTTGCGTTTCGTGGCGCTCCGGCGGCACCGCCGCCCGGCCTTTAAGAAGAATAGAAGAAGAGCGAGAGGGAGATCTGCAGATGTGAAGGTGTGAAGATCTAGATCTGCAGGTGTGAAGGTGTGAAGATCTAGATCTGCAGGTGTGAGGGTGTGAAGATCTAGATCTGCAGGTGTGAAGGTGTGAAGATCTAGATCTGCCGGTGTGAAGGTGTGAAGATCTAGATCTGCAGGTGTGAAGGTGTGAAGATGTAGATCAGCAGATGTGAGGGTGTGAAGATCTAGATCTGCAGATGTGAGGGTGTGAAGATCTAGATCTGCAGATGTGAGGGTGTGAAGATGTAGATCTGCAGGTGTGAAGGTGTGAAGATCTAGATCTGCAGGTGTGAAGGTGTGAAGATGTAGATCTGCAGATGTGAGGGTGTGAGATGTAGATCCCTCTCTCCCCACGTCCTTTCCTTTTCCTTTTTCGACTTCTTCCTCCTTTTCTCCCCTCTCCGCTCCTTCCCCTTATTTCCCACCTGTCCCTTAACGTCTCTCTCCTTTTTCGTGCTACTTATTTCTTTCTCTTCTGGCCTCGTAGGGCCTTTCCTTCCCCCGGCACCCTCCCTGTCTCTTTTTTTGTCCCTTTCCTCTATTTACTTTTATTGCTTGTACCACGTCACCTTTTCACTTTATACTTCATGTTCGCTATTCCTTCCCCCTGACAGATGTCGGGGTTAGGTGAAGGAGTAGATTGTAGATCTGCAGATGTCCGGGTGTGAAGATGTAGATCTGCAGGTGTGAGGGTGTGAAGATCTAGATCTGCAGATGTGAGGGTGTGAAGATCTAGATCTGCAGGTGCGAGGGTGTGAAGACCTAGATCTGCAGATGTGAGGGTGTGAAGATCTAGATCTGCAGATGTGAGGGTGTGAAGATCTAGATCTGCAGGTGTGAGGGTGTGAAGATCTAGATCTGCAGATGTGAGGGTGTGAAGATCTAGATCTGCAGGTGTGAAGGTGTGAAGATCTAATCTGCAGGTGTTGAAGTGTGAAGATGTAGAAGCCATGTGAGGGTGTGAAGATGTAGATCTGCAGATGTCAGGGTGTGAAGATGTAGATCTGCAGGTGTGAAGGTGTGAAGATCTAGATCTGCAGATGTGAAGGTGTGAAGATGTAGTATAACGGCTGCTTTTTTACGAAGAACCCTTCGCAGGCGCTCTCGGGAAAAATCATATACCAAATGATACCGGAAAAAAAATGGAATAGTGTAGTGACTGATAGTGATCAATGGATCCTTACATCATTTTATCAATGGGAATTTCAGGATCCTAAAATGGAGGTACCTACCATATATAAGGCCTATATAAGGGCTATGTAAGGGGATGTCCCCCCAAAATATGGCCTTATATGGTACAGTACCTCCATTTTAGGATCCTGAAATTCCCATTGATTTTATTTCAACCAAAAAAAAACACATGGCAGGACCTGGTCCAGGAGCTCCGTGACTTGCCACGCAACGTCTGCGTGCGACGGGTCAACGAGGTGGTGGCACGCGCGCGTGCGGTGAAGGTGCATATGGCCCTGGGTGCCCAAGCGGCAGGGGATGGGTTCCTGGATGGGCTCCTGGACTCCACCCCCAAGTAATGTGGGTAAAACCTCAACCATCCCCCAGTCACCATAAATGGGTGGTATATCTTGTGCAAAATAATCCATGGATCTAGCGGAAATTTCCAGATCCTGGACATCTCAGGGCAAATGGGTGGTATGTTTACCATTCGTCATGGCTGGTTTATGATGTTTATGGCATTGTTTTACCCACATGACCAGTTTTGAATGGGAGTGAAACGGTTTCAATCCATGGTGGTGTATGGCTTTGCTTTGCCAACATGAACGTCTTTTTGGGAAGATGTTGAGTTGTTTTTACCATGGGATCCTAGAGTGCAAGGGAAAATTTGGGAAGTCCCTAATTTTTAATGGGGATACCTTCTGGTCAATAAACATAGCTATGACTAGATGGTCCATCTATACCATAGCTATGGGTTATGTTGATTTTCGGATCAGTCGCATTAAATCCCATAATTAAAATCGCATGAAACACCATACAAACATATATCAGCTCCGTATGAAATCCCATGAAATCCCTACTTGTTGATGGTTAACCCACCATTTTCCTACCAAAACCCATGGGTTTCTCCCCCACGGCACCCCCTTCCGGTCCAAGGCTGCTCCCTGCGCGCCAAGCTACCAGCCTTCGGCGCTTGCGGCCGCAGGCAGCAGAAGCAGCGCTACTTGGCGGAGCATTTGCCGGAGGTCTACGCCGAAGTGATGTCGCTTGGGCATGAGCGGGGGGGATTTTTATTTTTATTTTTTTTAATGGTGGTTCATGATGATTAATCTAAATAATTATTCCGTATAATTATTACCTATTAAACGCCCCCCGCAATAATAAACTTTAATAAACACCCGGAACAGTTTTTCGATGTCAAACTCGATTAAATGCCTTTTTAAACTCTAGTTAAAATATTGCCAGAATTAGATTTCGAAGGTTCCCCCTCATACTAAATGAAAAACACTTGATATGATGTTTTTTCGATTTCAAAATTGTGAATTTCCTTGAATCTAATTGAACTATTGCTAAAAAAATTGGATTTCAAAGGTTCCCCTGATATGAAATTAAGCACCTTAATCAAAAGAAGTAAAATTTTCGATTTTAAAGGACGGACCTTAATAAACAACACCCCGGTGTTGACTAGTTTTTTTTTCTTAAGGGGTGAAACCCTCAAAGGGGACTTTCATATTTAATTGTTTTCGAAAGGGGGCCAATTAAAAATCAAATTGGCCAAGCTGAAATTTCCCAAAATCGAAAACGGACCCTAGTTTTTTTAATATTTGGGTTACGTTTAGTAATAGGGAGAAGGGATTAATAGGAATTTTATAGTGTTTGAATGGGATTCGAATGGGCTCCTAATGGATAGTACCTAGATTTTGACTCATAGCCAAATCGGCTGGAGGTGATTTTTAAAGATGATTGAGGATGGTGATTCTAATGGGGGTTGTAACATGTTGTAACCATCTAATGGGATTTGATGTGGTAAAGCCAGTGACCAAAAAAACAAGTCATCACCATAAATGATGATTCTAATTGGATTCTAATGACATTTAATGGTGATTCAATTATGCATAATTAATAATGATTATCTTTTGGGAACATGATATTCGATTATTGTGAAATGATTGGGAATGTTTAACATATGTTGTCCCAAATTATGACATTTAATGATTATTTAATGAGAATTTAATGTGGTAAAATGTAAAGCCAATGTCCCAACCTTTTGATTCTGGTGGTACTTATATAGTACTTGTCATGGCTATACCTGTTGCAACCCCACTAGGCTAAGGGGATAACATCCACAGTGGGATGGGATTGTTGTGGGGTGAAAACCATCGAATAATTACGGGGCTGCCATGGTTTAACCATCCTGAACCGGGGATCAGTACTAGCCAATAGAATCTTAAATCACCCACTTCGAACTTTCCCCGTGGGATCGGGAGTAAATGGTAGGAGAACAGGGTTTTGAATACTGCCCATATTTTCACTGTCCTCGAGCAGGAAAGAGTACGAGCACCTCAGCTGCAGGGATGGCCGGTAGATTCACTTCTGCCTGGAAATTTGCAGAATTTTTCATCATCATCATCATCATCAGACAAGTCCTTTTTCGAGCATTGAATGCCATGGAATCTCCGAGCCATGAAGATTGCCAATTGCCTTGATTCATGAGTCCTCTGACACCTTATGATCCTGATGTAAAGGGTCACCAAGAACGTCCCAACATTTTGGTGTGTATAAATTCAGCAAACCTGGCAGGTTTGCCCCTGGAGATATGCCGCCCCTGGAGAATTTCAAGGAGAGGTTGCGAAGCTTCAAAGACTTCCGAAGCTTTCAGAGGCCTCATAAAGAACGGGTGATTTTGATGGGTGAACCAGCAGACTGGGGGATGTATAATTTATACTACGTCAATTTCAATGGGATATCAATGAAGATATGATATGGCATGATCGAGATTGATAGGGTCAAATACCCTCTGGTAATTTAACATAGCTATTGAAAATCACTATTTATAGTGGATTTTCCCATTGAAAATGGTGATTTTCCATAGTTATGTTAAATTACCAGAGGGTAAATATGGGAGATGATGGGAGTGAGAGGCTTAACCCACGGGATAACATGACCCGAGACCCCGAGACCTCTGCTCCACTGGTCACTTCCCTGGCAACGTATGCCCTCAGTTGCCACCTGGCCATGGTTCAAAACAGAACAATGGAAGAGTGCCCACAAACAAGACAAGTTTGGGGCATAATAAATCGTGAATCGTTCAAACGTTGTTAAGCTTAATGTTTACGCCTGTTTACGACAATCTATTTTCCTATTGATTGGTCCATCGTTTAGGAATTTTACTGAGAATGTGTTGCATTTGTTGGGTCACCTAAAGCAAATCCTACCGAGTCGTGACAAAAAAATCATCGAATCAAATCCTTCAAGCTTTCTACCAGGTCCTGCAAGACGCAGCAAGAGACCTTGGATCGACTGATCCAACAGGAGAAACCCGGGATGGCTGGATCCTTAGTCGCTGGATGCTCGATCCATGTCCGAGCATGAAACATCTTATGGTGGTTTTGTGAATGGATTTTCAATGGTGGAGGCTTAATGGGGGTTAATCGGGGTTCATAGATGTTAATAGGGGGTTACACTGGTTATTTACCATGGCAATGGAAAACCACCATGTTTACAATTGGTAAATCAATGTAAATCATCATAAGTCACCCGAAATTGTGCCATGGTTTTCATAGCTATGTAACAAATCACCAGAGGGAATAATCATGTCCAAGATGGAAGACACTTTCAAGATTTGAATCCGAGGATATCCTAGGTTTGGATTGAATATGGTTGAGCATCAACCTGGTTAATGGGTTCAGCGGGGTCATTCACCACAGACTCTTTTAATCATTATATTATATTATAATTGGGATTCATTGAACCCCTATTGCTGGGGGAAAATTTTCCAGCAACCAGTGGCGACATCTGATGTTTTGCAAGTCGGAAACCAGTTGCAAAACATCTGAAAGATGACCCCAGTTCACAATTCCCTATAGCTCAAGAGTGCACATCTCTTTTTTCCTGCGCCAACATGATCCAATATCAGAGTTTTTGTTTGGATGCATACCCTATATAATCTTATATATATATATATTAATATGTTTTATTATTATCATTATTGTCATGTATTGATTAAATACATAAATAGATATAATATATATATACATATATTTATACATATGCATAGTTATTTGCCAGTTCGGTGAGGAGATCCCACGCTTGATGGCCCTGGTGGGTGGCGTGTCCGCCTCAGACCTGGGGAACAAGGCGCGGCATTTTGCTTTACGCCGGGCCAAGCCACCATGAAACATGGCGAAACTCATGGGCTTTATGTCATTTATAGTGATTTAATGGGATTGAATGGGATTTTATAGTGATTTAATGGGATTTAATGGGATTTAATGGGATTTTATAGTGATTCAATGGGATATTAATGGAATCTACCCTCTGGTAAACTAACAGTTTGCTGTTGAAAATGGCCATAGAGGCCCAGTCGAAATAGTGAGTTTTCCCATTCGAAATGGTGATTTTCCATACCACTTGTAGTTATGTAAACGGTTACCAGTGGTGAACCATATGTAGATGGTGGCTTATCATTCACCATCTTAGTTAATGGTGGCTATAATCATAGTTATTACCATCATCAATAGTGGTACCACTTTATTTTTCTGACCCTGGATGAATAAACCCCGTTTACGGCTGTTTAATTGGGAGGTACCATTTAAGTATTAGATGATATGACTATTGGAGGAGCACCCCCCTAATTAATAAACCATGGTTTATTGATCCGGGGTTGACATTAATGAATTGGGTTGTATTTGGGGTAATGTGGGCAAAACAATAATAAACCACCCATTTGGGAATGGTAAACATACCTTTATTGTGATTTGGGGGATGGTTTATTATTGTGTTACCCACATTATACCATTAATACATAAGGATAAAATCTTATAATTAATATACTGCATAATACTCATTAGTTGATTGTGAATCATTTGCAGAATTAATTTTGTTTGGAAAACATGGTGAGTTCATAGGATTTCTATGGTGACCCAATGGGAAACGAAATCGATCAAGGGAATATGTTCTATGTTTGGGGGGTTCCTTAAGCAAATCTAAGTGGTGATTTAAAAGGATTTGCTGGGGATGAACGGGGGGCATAATGGAGGTACCGGATCGATTCACATAATTTACTAACTCGAGTTAAGGCCATTTTCGTATAGTTGCCCCTACTGCAACCGAATCATTTCAGTGACGTCGGAACGTGAGGTCGTTATAATTTATACAGAGACATGGGTCACAAAGATGGAATTGTAGGAGATCATGAGGGGAACATTATCTATACCAGGGCTAGAGGATCAAAGAAAACAAATAAGGATCAATAAAAGCAAAACGAATACCAATCATTCTGCCAGAAACAGATGAAGCGTCCAATTTTCCATTTTTTCATATTTTTGTGGGAACGCACATCCAGCTTTATACCAGCCATACCAGGGAATTCCATGGGTTTCGACCCATTTGAAGGTAGAATTTACAGGCAAAACAAGTGTATATTATTATTATTATTCTCATTATTATTGTTATGTTATAATCATTAGTATAATCATTATTATGTTATAATCACTATTATAATCACCATTATTATGAAAAACAAGTGTATGAAAAAATATTAATCACCATTATAATCACCATGATAATCACCATCATTATCATAACGTTCATCTTTGGGACCAGATGAACAGAAGGGTCCTACACACCAACTTTTCGGACCGAATCATCGGATCGCCCGTCCGGAGCGTACGACGCACGACCCTGGCTCTTCATTTTCCAGATCTATGTATAGTATGTATAGTATGTATAGTGTTGGATGATTGTTTTTCTATGCTTTACTATTCAAAATCTGGATATATATATATATAGATAGTGTGAATCAGCCACATGTGAGACATGTCCTTGCATTGCTGCGACAACCTTCCATGCAGCAGTGCGCTGAACCTCGCATCAACCGATGCGGCAGGCACCAGGTTCAAGCTAGGGTAGGTGGGCGGGATCATTCGATCGCGGTCGATCCAAAATAGGTGCCATAGCAGCTTGGGCGCTGCCGTTGTTTGGTGGTGGGACCACCCCTCATTTCATTTGGAGGCTTGGGAGCCCTTTTCACTTTTGGTTGGAACCAACATCAACTTCATCAGTGGGACTGATTTCATTTGCTGCCAGTGTGGAAAGAGTCGGGGACCTTTCACACTGGTAGCGGAGCCAGGTTGCTCCGTTGCCAAGCTTGGCTTCGAAAGAGCCGGTGATCCAGGAGACCAATGCCCGCACCAGAGTCTGACCTTCCTCTAGTGCCTGATGACCTTGTGGATGGACCTGGGGCTGCGTCGACGATCTCTACGGCGCAACTCCCATGGACGGCAATTCCAAAGTTCGTGCCGGGCACGACCAATGTTCAGGACTATGTGAAGAAGTTGGAATTCCTAGCGGCCATGTGGCCGACAGAACACCTGGATTTACTGGCACCCCGTGCCGCGCTGCTGGTCGAAGGATCAGCGTTTGCCACCATTGCCAAGCTGGATGCATCGAAGCTGAAGGTGAAAAGCTTGGATGGTGTCAAAGCCTTGGTAAAGGCAATTGGTGGGAGCTGGGGTGCTACGGATTTTGAAGAGCGCTTCGAATTTTTTGAGAAGGCGCTTTATGGCACTCTGCAGAAAAGCGATGAATCCAACGACAGCTTCATCTCCAGGATGGAGGCTGTATTCTCTGAGCTGCTGAGTCGTGGAACAACTTTGGAAGAAGTCCAAGCCTATGTCCTGCTGAGACCATCCACGCTGGCTCCAGAGGACAAGAAGAGAGTGTTGCTAGAGCACAAGGAGCTCAAGTACCAGCCTGTGATGAGGGCAGTTCGCCTTCTGGGCAGCCGCTTTTTCCATGAAGTGCAGTCCGGTAAGACTGCAACCAAGACGAAAGTCTATGACTCCTTGGTGGTGTCCGATGAGAAGGAGACCGTCGAGGCTTCTTACGTGACAATGCAGTCAGCGCCTGTGGATGATGATGATCTTCCAGCTGAGGTGTTAGAAATTTTGATATCCCAAGAGGATCCTGATGCTCTCAGCGTTCAAGCTTTCGAGAATGAGTTTGAAGACTTCATCCAAGACACGCCTGACATGCACTTGGCGATGATCTCATACATGGAAGCTCGACAACGTCTTCAAGACAAACGTCGTGCCAGAGGATTTTGGCCACCTGGACAAGCCAAAGGAAAAGGAAAAGGCAAGATGCCCTTCAAAGGGAAAGGTGCTGGCCGCCAAAATCTGCTGGCGAAAATCGCAAGGAGCCGATGCTGTATCTGCAATCAGATGGGCCATTGGAAGGCTGAATGCCCCCAGCGTGATGGCGCAAATGCTCCTTCTCCCGCGAATCCACCAGCTGCAGCTGCAGCCAATGTAGTCGAAATGGACCCCCACGATGCTGATGACATCATCGATGACTTGGAGATCTATACTGAGGCAGACTTAGCGAAGCAGGTGCCTGTTTGTAGTGAGTCCGAACGTGTACAGGATTGTTTTGTACTGATTCACACTCCATGGAATAACCCCCGTAATAAAAGTAAATTGAATAAACCTGTGGGTAACATGATGATTAAGATGGGGTTAAATAACTCAGCAAGCCACCTGCCTGTGATGCACTCTGCTCTTGCAGAGTTGTCCAAGCCTAGCCAAGGGGTCAAAACCAACCCGCCATGCCTGCCGCCTGCCAGGAAGAAAAGCGTTGAAGTCCTTCCGAACCTGCCAGTGCTTCAAGCATCCGAGGACACAGCAGCCCATGCGATCCTTGACACCGGTGCCAGTAGATGTATCATTGGTTCTAAAACTCTGAACCAGCTTTTGCAGCGTTTGCCCGAAAGTGCCAGATCCACTGTGCAGCAGAGACCAAGTCAGATAAAGTTCAGATTTGGAAACAACCAGACACTGACCAGCATGTACCGTGTTTTGTTACCTCTAAGAGGATCATCACATGAAAAAGTTTGGTTGGGAGTGGAAGTCGTCGAGGGCAAAACGCCTTTCCTATTTTCCAAGCGTGCTTTCAAGCAATTGGGTGGCATTTTGGATACCACCAGAGACCAATGCACGTTGACAAGGCTGCAAAAGCCAATTGAGCTGAGCACCAGTTCCACTGGTTTGTATCTGTTGGACATGTCTGAGTTTTGTGCACCACATTTTGTGGAGGGAGAACCCCAGACTTCAGTCTTTGTAGGGAATGCCAGCCATGTAGGGGTTATTGCATGTTCCGGTAGGGAAACAAAGACTCCCTGTGAGAAATCCCGATTTCAGAAAAGGCCGTTCAGCAGTACACACACGAAGCCATCGTGTTCCAGTGATCCAGCAGTTTCGCACTCTTCGACCCGTGTGATCTCTCACCATGTCGAATCGAGAAGCGGCCATCAACATGCTGAAGGAGACGGCCAATACCATCATGGGAACCCTGACGCTGGTTCTCCAAGTGTCCATGAACATGATCGAAGTGAACGCTCCGGACCATGCCGAAGAGGAGCACATGCCCCAACTGACCAGTCAGCTGCAAGCAATGTGCCAAGAGATGTCCAGGCAGAGAGCCTTGCTCCAGCGTCTTGCCGAGAGCCAGAACAAAAAGATGCCGGCACCAGTTCTCCCATTGATGGATATACCAGTCCACAACATGAATACCGAGCCCATGCCCAATTCAGCAACTCTGAGCGACGAGGACGACGATTTCTCAGTGGTCTCACCAAAGCCGACTCCATCGGCTACCACCCAGAATGTTCCCAAGATGAGAAAGAGTCCAACAAAGGGGTCACCGACGTCCACCAGCAATCCAGCAGTGCCCAACAAGCGTGCTTACCCAATGCAGATTCATGGAGACCCAGCCCCGATGCATCTGACCTTGGCCGAATGGGGCCAACGAAAGGTGACCTGGGGAAAGAAGCATCCTGGCCACACCTACTTCCAAGTGCTCTCAGGGGACATGGGGTACTTCGAATGGAGTCTGCAGAGGTACAACTCGCTTCCTCCTCACCAACAAGACTTTGTGGACTACTGCAGGGCTCAGTTGGAAGCGGATGCCGATCAAGATCGTCTGAAGGCCATGAGTGTTCGTCGCCTACCCTGAGTTTGGACACCAATCTTGCTCAGATGATTCAGTCATGCCAGATTGAATGTTCCCGTTTCCAACCACATAGAGTTGAGCAGAAGTATCAACATGAGATTGAGTCTTCCTTACAAGCCGCACAACAGATTGCTGACGATGTATTTGTAACAGCCCCCAAGTCAAACGTTTCAAGATGCAAGTTAGTGACACTGGAAGTGTATGCAGGTGCTCACAGCCCCCTGACATCCTGTTTGCAAGATTTAGGAGTCCAAGCATACCGCTTTACGCGTCAAGATGGTGATCTTGCCACTTTCTCGGGTCGTCAGAAATTGTGGAGACTGATTGATTCAATCCAGCCTGATCACATTTTTGTTGCGCCAGAGTGCGGCCCTTGGGGTGGTTGGAATCGCCTGAATGCTCAGAAAAGTGTGGCCCTGTGGAACCATGTCCACGGTCGCCAAGCCCAAGAACGATGTCATGTCAGGTTGTGTGCCCAGCTATGTCAATATCAAGTTAGAAGAAATAAACACTTCCATCTTGAACAGCCCAGCGGTTCAGCAATGATTCACACAGATGAATTCCAGCCAATTTCTAAGAATACTCAACAAGTATACTTTGATATGTGCCGCTTTGGACTGAAAATCCCGAACACCGATCGTTTTCTCCGGAAAAGCAGTCAAATATGGACCACTTCTGAAGAGGTTGTACAGCTTTTATCTGGTGTCAGATGCAAGGGCGATCATGAACATGCGCAGATTGCTGGAACGATGCACCACGATGGACGCTCCATCCGAACGTCCACCTTTTGCGCCACTTATTGCAATGGTTTTGCTTCAGCTTTTGCCAGAGCCATGTGTGAAGATCATTCCCATAGAGTGCATGACAGTTTTGCCCATGAAGATGAACCACCCCCGAAGAAAAGCCGACTGTGTCATCCCCAAAATAAGCGAGCACTCCCAAGTGATGAACACACTGATGCTCTAGTGGACGACCATGTGTCCATGAGTCCTGCTGCGCAAACCATTGATGCGGATTCCGTGTGGTATGAAGCCTTTCGGATGGCCAACAGGATCGCTCCACGAGTCGGCAACTTAAAATGTGAAGTAGGTCATGACCTTTATGAATTTGTCCAGCAGCTTGTAGAATCAGAGATCAACATCCACAGCCTTTTTGTATGCAGGGGTACCAACCGATTCCAAGTTCCCATTGCTGCCCCATCATCACACGATGCTCCCTGGCGCCGCACCATATGTATGCACCGGGCCGATGGGACCTTGTATGATTTAGGGACACAGCATTGGCATCCTATGACCAGAGCCCAGCGTATAGCTAATAATATGCCTAGCCGATTGACCATGACTATCTTTGGAAACAGCCTACAAACCCATCCTGAAGGATCAATACCCCAAGATGTCGAATCCAAGAGATCAGACAATCCAACCCTTGCCGAAAATCGTGACGGAGCCACTGATCCACCAAGTGCCCAAGTTGGGCTGCCAACCATTTGTGAAGGCTGGGCACCGCCACCGACACCTTTGCATGGACCTTGTTTCCGAGCCTTATCCCCTGAAGAAAAGCAAGACTTGGTGAAACTCCATAAGAATCTAGGCCATCCCGATCCTCGGGTGTTGTCTGCCCACTTGAAAGTTCAGAAGGCTCCAGAACATGTCGTTCGTGCAGCCGCCGATTTCATCTGCGATGCATGTGTAGAGACCCAGAGACCACGTCATCAGCGTCCAGCCAAATTACACCCTCCAAGAGAATTCAATGATGTTCTAGGTATCGATGGTTTTTTCTGGAGGGGAAAACGAGGTTTTCAATGTTACGTTCTACATGTGTATGACGAGGCCTCAGGTTTTCACCTTGCCAAACGACTTGATGGACGCAATTTGGACCATGCAATCCCTGCCTTTCAAAACATGTGGGCCTTGTGGGCAGGTTTTCCAAAGAGCCTGTACTTGGATCCAGCAGGTGAGTTTCGTGCCGATCAGTGGTTGTCTTTCATGCAAGCTCATAACACTCATGTTCATATGACAGCCGAAGCATGGCAAAGAGGCCGCATTGAAAGACATGGTGCCATTTTGAAAGATATGTTGCATCGCCTAGATGCCGAACAGCCCTTTGAGAGCACCGCACAGTTTGATGAATCTTTAACACTCAGTTGCCAAGCCAAGAACCAACTTTCAAAACAAAATGGCTACTCACCTGAACAAGTGGTCTTAGGAAAATCAACTGCACTGCCGGCGTCACTGACTTCCGATGACGCAGCATCTGCTGCACATGCCTTAGCCCTGGGAAGTGATTTGGAGTGTGAACGATTTCGGGAACGTCTCAATCGTCGAACAAAAGCCAGACAAGCTTTCATCCTAGCAGATAACACTGAAGCGATCCGAAGAGCCTCTCTAAGACAAACCAGACCTATGAGAGGACCTTATGCCCCTGGACAGCTTGTGCTTTACTGGACTAAGAGACACACTCCAAACCGTGGCGAATCTGGAAGATGGCACGGACCCGCCAAAGTGATCATTCAAGAAGGAAATTCAATTGTCTGGCTGTCCCATGCAGACAGACTGATCCGCAGAGCTCCTGAAAGCATTCGACCGGCATCTTTGCGAGAATGGAGCTCTTGGAATGACCATGTGCCCCGACTTCTGGATGACGTGCCTCAGATCCCAGTGCCTGTCACACCCCAAGTCGAAGAGAATGACAACTTAGATGCAGAATACTCACCCAGCATAGCGGCCGATCCTCCAGGATCCACATCTTCTGACATACGACAACCAGAGCAGGAAGCTTCTCATCCTCCAACTATTGGTTCTGAGGATTCAGGAAATAACACACCAACTGCAGAATCAGATATTCCCCAATTTGAAAGTGATGATGAAGATCCTGTAGAAGATAGCCATTTACTACAAATGATTAACCTCACCGAAATCCATGACCCAAGTTCCGAAGACCAAAATCTTAATCCTGAAAGTGCCCTGCATGTGTTCGATACCCTATTTCCTTCCGAAGATGCCAGGGTTTCCGAAACCATTTGTCTTGCTGATGATGGAATGCCATACATCGATTTCCCCGTAGAGTGTGCTGTGGAAGAGTGCTACAGTCTTGAAATTCCACTGAAAGCAGAAGACCTAACATCCTGGAGTCTTGAGACTAATCCAGAAGAAATGGCATGCGTCGCTGCAGCTGGCCAAAGGGCCCGTGTCGAGGTACAGGTCAAGCATCTATCTGCCAAAGACAAGGAGCTCTTTGACATTGCCAAGGACAACGAACTGTCCTGCTGGATTGCTACCAATGCCCTTAGACTTATTCTCCGTAAATCCCTAAATCCGGACCAAATTTTGAAATCCCGCTGGGTGTTGACCTGGAAAAACATAGAAGCTGATGGAGATCAGCCTGCATCTCGAAAAGCCAAAGCCCGCCTTGTTGTATTGGGTTATCAAGATCCCCAACTCACCAATGTAGCGAGGGATAGTCCTACTCTAACTAAAGAGGGCCGAAGTACCATTCTCCAATACATTGCATCTAGACAGTGGGAACTCACTAGCTTTGATATAAAGACAGCATTCCTGAGAGGCAAAGCTGATGAAAGCAATCCTTTGGCAATGGAACCCCCGGAAGAGCTGCGAAAGAAGCTGAATCTCAGTGCCGCACAGGTATGCGCCCTTGTGGGCAATGCGTACGGCAGGGTGGATGCTCCATTGTTATTCTATAAAGAATTATCCCGACAACTCAAAGACCTTAATTTTCGAGTTCATCCTTTGGAACCTTGTGTATTCCTATTAGAATCAAACGTTGATAGCAAGAGAGTTCTGCACGGAATTCTAGGAGTACATGTTGACGATGGAATCTGTGGTGGAGATGAGTTTTTTCATCAGCAACTTCAAAAACTTTCCAAAAGCCTTCCATTCGGCAGTTTCAAAAGCAGGAAATTTACTTTTACGGGTATTCACCTTGAACAACTGCCCGATTACAGCATCCGAGCTTCTCAATCCGATTATGTTCATCGAATTATGGCCATTGATGTTGGAAAGCCACGGAGAGAAACTCCTGAAAGTGCACTCACTGAAAGTGAGAAATCCAAATTGCGAGCGCTTGTGCGAAGCCTGCAGTATGCGGTGACGCACACTCGTCCTGACCTGGCAGCCAAACTTGGCGAAGTCCAGGCTAGCATGGCCAATCCCAAAGTGAGTACCATGATGCTGTGTAACAAAGTTCTTCGGGAAGCCCAAGAAAATTCTCATGTTCAAATATGTTACCGAAGTATTCCAGTTGAAAAAGTGACTCATGTTTCTTTTGGGGATGCATCTTTCGCCAGCGCCAAACAATTGTCATCCTTTCAGGGTTCATTGATATGTGCCACCACCGAAGATTTGAATGACAATAAGGAAGCCCCAATTTCCCCAATGAGTTGGTCCTCGAAGAAAATATCCCGCGTTGTACGATCCACACTTTCTGCCGAAGCATACTCCATGTCCAGAAGTGTTGACAGATTGGGATGGCTACGCCTTTTGTGGGGTGAATTTGCAGTACCCAAGTTCCCATGGCAGGATCCGACGAAAGCGTATGCATGTCTCCCTATGGCAATAATCACCACAGACTGCCGTAGTCTTTATGATTTAGTAAGCCGAACTGCCATGCCTCAATGCGAAGAGTTCCGAACCACCTTGGAAGTCCTGTTAATCCGTGAGCAGTGTCAAGATCACTGTGTGTTTCGATGGATACCAACCACCATCATGTTGGCTGACGCCCTCACTAAACCATGGAACCCACTCTCCTTAGAACAGCCCTCCAAAAAGGGGTCTTTTGCTTATTTGACGAAGAATCCGTGCTTCGCACCAACGCCAATCGTCGACTTGCAATTTCCTGGCTCCATGAAAAATCTAAGATGAATAATCCTTTTAGGGGAGCAATGCAATAATCCTTTTAGGGGAGTGTGAATCAGCCACATGTGAGACATGTCCTTGCATTGCTGCGACAACCTTCCATGCAGCAGCGCGCTGAACCTCGCATCAACCGATGCGGCAGGCACCAGGTTCAAGCTAGGGTAGGTGGGCGGGATCATTCGATCGCGGTCGATCCAAAATAGGTGCCATAGCAGCTTGGGCGCTGCCGTTGTTTGGTGGTGGGACCACCCCTCATTTCATTTGGAGGCTTGGGAGCCCTTTTCACTTTTGGTTGGAACCAACATCAACTTCATCAGTGGGACTGATTTCATTTGCTGCCAGTGTGGAAAGAGTCGGGGACCTTTCACAGATAGATAGATAGATAGATATAGATATACGTATATACATGTATGTATATAATATGCCCACCATGTTGGACGGTCAGAATCTCTGAGTGTATCCAGATAGCACACCCAATAAAATACCCAGAGATTTTGAAGATTGAAGCCCTCCAGGCGGTAAAAAGGGGCAAGGTTTTCTCTTGATTTCATCAATTTGCTGATTTGTTGCTGTTTGAAACGTGTTGTTTCTCCCAACTGCGGGGGGGTTCCTGTCCATTTCCTGGCTTGCTCCAAGCAGTCAGTGCGTCCGAGCCAGGCCCCGAACGGCGGCGGGAAGACGGACGCACAGGACTTTCGGCTCGAAGGTGTCAGCGATGACCGGGCCTGGGATGGGAGTTGGCTAAGCTTTTTGATGGGTTTACCCTCTGGTTATTTAACATAGCCATGGTATAGATGGCCCATTTATAGATGGTTTACCTATTAAAAATGGTGATTTTCCATGGCTATGTTAAATAACCAGAGGGTAATGATGATTTCGTGCGTTGGATTTGCGAACATGAGCTCTTTGCTGTTTAAGATATTTTAAGACTGTTTTTGTTTACCAGTTGGAACTGGTAATCAACCATTGAGGGAATCTATGATGAATAGTTTTGTTGATTTGGGGGCAGCCTTTGGCAAATCCAAGCCGATAAACATATTATGGCCCAAACATTCTCCTCAAACCGCGACATAGAACACAACGGTCGTCTCGCAGGTTTGCTCAGCAAGAGAGCACGACTGTAATGTTACGGACAGCATCGGACAGCCTAAAGAAAGACATGCCATTGTTATCCATTTTTGGGGATTCCATGTTTTGATTTCAGCAGGGTGGTGGTTCATCCTGCCAGGCTCCGACAGGGCAATTACGCAATGTCAGCTAATGTCAGTCGCCTCAACACTCATGTTGGACCCATCCAATGCCATCCAACATTTGATGACATTGACTGTTGCTTCATCCGTTTGTTACATTTATTTCGTTCACAATTAATATCATGAGAATCAAGTCAGGTTTAGGTACGTTTGGTCGTTAACCTCTTCAAAATGAACAGTTGGACCCTGAAAATAACCCATTTTTTAGTGGAACCTATTCTTCCAAGCCCCATCTGGCAGGGTCACACGACGCCAGGTGCTACCCGAGCCGCAGAGCGCAGTTGGCTCTGCGGTTTCTTCGTGCTGCTGTTGCTCCTGGTAGTGGTACCCGTGGCAGCGACATTCCGGGGCGATGCGGAGGTTGTTTTTTCCAATTGGAGATGGGTCAAAATTGAGATGGTTAGTGGTTAGTGGTTTTTGGATGTTTTTGGATGTTTTTGGATGGTTTGGAACATGACTTTGATTTTTGCATATATTGGGAAGAATAGTCCCAACTGACTTTCATATTTTTCAGAGGGGTAGGTCAACCACCAACCAGTATTGGATGGTTAATGGATGGTTATATCATGGTTAATACCAAAGTATTGGATGGTGAATGGTCAATGGATCCAAGATGATCCAAGTATAGTTATGGTTTGTACCCCAAGTATTGGATGGTTACTTGTTAATACCAAGAATAGACGTAAATCTGCGGTCCCTCAGTCCCCCAGGTCTTTAATTTTGACCCACACCCTTTTGATTTTGATTTAAGGCTGAAGGAAAATGATTGAACAACAATGCTAAGCCAGGGGTTCGGTGGTTTTTGATATTTTGGGTAAGGGATGTGCACAGGCTTCACTGAAGATGCACTTTTCTTCGGTGGCGTATAAATTGGGGTGTCCTCCCATTGAGACATACTCACATGGAATTTCCGAACAGATGGGGCACTCTGAGATGATTACTTCATATTAATTCAAATTGTCAGGCTTGTTGGCAAGAACCAAGTGTTTGGGTTCCACATGGTTCACGCAATTTTCATGGTGTAAATCCCTTGGGCTGGGATTCTGTGAATCACCTGGTCCGCGTGAACGATCTGTGACCGATTTTACAGGTAGCCTGAATAAATGCCTTGGTCATACAAAGGTCACAAAGTCATACTTGGGTTATGAACCCAATCACCGGCAGTGGGGGTCGTGTTCTTGCCAAAGCTTACTGATCCGACGCCAGCGACGTTCTGTTGGATAGTTGTGTGAACAGTGTGAACATGGTCGGGCAAAGTTTGTGTATTGTCTTGCGCAATACTCTTGAAGGAAAACTCTGTTTTTCAATGATTGATCCAACTGATGATTATGATTATTATTATCATTATTGTTATTGATTATTATTATTATTATTATTATTATGTTTCTACACGTCTCTACTATTTTTTGATATGTTTGATATGATGACGATGATGATGATGATGATGATGATGCCCCATTGGCCTAGACTATGGGGATGAATCTTCCAAGCACCAGGCTGTAGGCGCGCCCATGAACCAAGGCTGTAGGCGTTGCGGCTTTCCTTCGGCCAGAGGCGGCTCTAATCCCTCCGTATCTGCCATATACCCTCTGGTTATGTCAAAATAGCTATTGAAAATGGCAATTTATAGTGAGTTTTCCCATTAAAAATGGTGATTTTCCATAGTTACGTTAGTTTACCAGAGGGTATATCTATCCATATATCTATCCATATATCTATCCATATATCATTTCATATCTTAAAAATTCATGCAGTAATGATGCTTGAGAACTTATTTCCATGTGGCTGGCAGAACCGATCAGATTTGATCGGCATCCCCACCGGAATGGCCAACAAAACATAACAAAACTCATTGCTGTCCAACGATGGCCTTTTGGAAAAGAAACTATTGAATCCCCCTTTGTTGTTGGTCAAATTCAACTTCAAGCCGGACTTCTTTGCGATGTTTGATGACTAAATCACCATGTTTCATGGTATCATTATGTGTCATTGTCATTCCGATGTGTTCCCGGTCCAAATCGGCATTTGTTCATGGCAAAATCAGCATGAAGCCCCCCCCTTATGTTTTCCTGGCTTGGCCCATCGGGCACCAGGCAGCCCTCGAAGTTTTGAAGTCCTTGGAGACGCATCCATGGCTGGCTCCTATGCGGCCGTGGCTGGCGAAGATTCATGAGGTGTGGCCGCAGGCGGGGCGCTTTATTACATGGTTGTTTCATGTTGTTTCACATGCTATTGGTTCAAGAAAAATGGGTTGAAATATGTTGAAATTTTGAATTGCAACAAAAAAATCGTGCTTTTTTCTCAAGAAAGGCCTAGCAAACCTTGATACACGAGTTTTAAGGTTTTTAGCAGCACACATATTGGCTTCAAGTATTAAGAATATAGGTGCCTGTTTAATAGGGAACACAATGTGGGAATACAATGCCCGGCCATCCAGAAACAGGTGGCCGATGGGCTTCCTAGGTGATGTGTGATCTCTTTCCCCCACGAGAGGGGCGACTCGACTTATGTCGGGTGGGATAAGTGATGCGAATCACCTGTTTGATTACCCTCTGGTGAACTAACATAGCAATGGAAAATCACCATTTTTAATGGGAAAATCCATTATAAATGGCCATTTTCCATTGCTATGTTAGTTCACCAGAGGGTACTCTTCGGCTTCACAAATTGCACATTAGCAATTTCACCAGGGTACCTGCTGCCATTCATGACGGATGATGACGATTGGTTGCATCGGCCATTCTTGGCAGTTAGCCAGGCAAGCCAGCATATCTAAAAAAAGAGTCTGCAAAATGTCCAACTTTTAGTCCGGAGTCGGAAGAATCCAGAGTCACAGTCGGGAAAGGTCTGAAATATCTGAAATGATCACAACGCATATTATGGAACCTCACTGGGGGGTCATCCTTAAACTTATTTGTAGTATGATAGTTATTAACATTGACAAAACAGTTATTTAAGAAGATGTCAGTTTATGTCAATTTGGTAAATGATACTTTTCTATGTCAATATTTGTTATTTGTTTAATATTACCAATTGTGCTTATTTATTTGTGCAACAAATCCCATCCTGGCCTTGGTGAAGGCACCAGGTGAGCTCAACGTCACGCCCATTCACTTGGCCACGGAGCCGTGGAAGCCGGATTGATGGTGTCTGGTGTGGGGGTTACCCAACCTGGTTATGACTAACAAACATAGCCATGGGATTTCGATGGCCCTAATCGAAATAGATGGTTTACCATGGTTGACCGAACTTAAAAATGGGTGGATCTTTCCATGGCTATGGCACAAATAAGCAGAGGGTTAATTGAAAGCTTTTCTGATGTTCGATTGTTGCTGGTTGGTGGTGACTGGAACATGGCTTTTATGACTTTCCATATTAATTGGGATCATCCCAACTGACGAGCATATTTTTCAGAGGGATTGAAACCACCAACCAGTTATGTTCGATTGTTGTGTTTGATTGTTCAATAATAGGTAACTATATGATACTATATATGTATATAGTTACATCTATATACTAGCATACTAGTAATAGTAATTTGCCCAGGTGATTACTATAGTATTATTGTTTGTTGTCAACCATCCAAATAATGGAAGTGCATAGAAGTGCGTTTGTTTCCTTCAGATTGTATGTGGAATGACTCCAACAAGATGAAGAACAAGAGCAAGCGCAGTGACAACAAGGACAGGAAGGCTCCACAGCATCCCTAGCGACCCCTTATGCTGTTTCTGAAATTTGGGAACGCGATCAGGAAATTGCCTTCGCGGATTGTTGTGGTCTCAACCTCATGTTTGCCTTGTGATATTTATGTGTGTAATATATTGTAATATTGTGTTCTATAGCCATACAATGATTTACTGTAGGCTATATTTTTGTGCATTCTCTTCGGTTTTAAACAGGTCTTGACTGAAAGTAATTAGGATACCCCCAGAATTATTCAACATCTCATTGTTTACCATTATGTTTGCCATTTAAACGGTAGTTTTGAGGTATACCCCATTTTCAGACACACCAATCCCTGCTGGGCAGAGTCCAAAATCGCAGGACTCTGCTGCTGCAACTGAGTTATGACCGCTGCGACTGGTGGGTTGACAGTTCTTGATGTGGTAAGGTCACCGTAAGGTCCTAAAGTTCGACATGTTCGACGCTCAAAAAACCACCGCAGACAGACTACCATCCATCCTATTGGATGGGCGAATCACCTTGCGGCATTTTTTGTGTTGATTTCACATCATTTTACTAGCGAAAAGGGCACCGGACCAACCAGAGAATTCAGCCGTGGGTAGCTTGATGGTGGATGGAACATAGGGAAATTAACGGGGATCCCCAGCCTTTGGATGCCTGGTTGGTGGTTTGGAACATGGCTTATTTATTTTCCCCAACCAGATTGGGGATGATGATCCAATCTGACGAACTCATATTTTTCAGGGGGGTGTTGAAACCACCAATTAGATGCAGTCTAAGAGGGAATATTCCAACGAACATATTCGGCGATTTGTCCCCCTTAGACAGTTTTTTTAGCATGCAGATGTTCATATGCGTTCATCATCCAGGTGTAACATCAAGCGCTGCTGACCCAATCGGCTGACCAGGGGAGCATAGTCTCCTGGTGAGCTGAGATGTATGACTTGGGCCCATCTATGGGTTGCTGATGGTTGTCGTGTATGGTTTAGTCCTTATCATTCACCATTTCTTTGGAATATATTTAGAATATATTAGACTTGTTGAACATAAACATTCCGTATTCTCCAAATTTCCCAGAAATTCAAAAAGAGCAGATCTTGTAGAATGCTTGTGTGCTGAAACTGATCGGGCGGAAGCCTCGCCCGTGGCTCAAAATGGGCCGCGGCTGTGCCAACGAAAAATCTGTTCCCGCTTCGCGCAAAGCTTCCCGCGAAGTCCATGGGCGAAGATCGCAGCCAAAAGGATTGAAATTGCGGTGCCACCAGGATTATCACATTGGGAAGGCCCCGAAATATCATGAAATATGTCAAATGTCATTTTATCGGGATAGAAAATTCGTAATTAGTTACATACATACATACATGGAGAGAGAGAGAGAGATACATACATAGTCATACAATAATCACATTTATGCAAGCAACATGATGGCTGTGTTTGAAAACAAGGGATTTACAGTACCCCCCCAATTATCATGGCAGCTGGAGGGATAGGCCAAGCTACTCCCATTTAGCTCGATTGGGGTGCCGCGCAATGCGCGGCAGTTGCCTCAATGCTTCAAGCCAAGTGCCTTTGTGAAACGGAATCCCCTGAATGCAGTAAGTTTCATGGGAATATGTTGAGGAATTGTCCTCCGAATTGTTTTTTGCCAACCAACATGGGACAGCAGATAGCCAACATAAGCAACAACTAAATGATCTAAATGGCTTTGGTGATGTCAGATGCCCTTCCATCCCTGGCTAGGATGATTCTCACAATTGACGTATGTCGTTTTTTGTTTTGGGGTAGCGGGTCAAGTCTACTACATGTTTCCCAGGTTCTTATTCTCAGAAACAGCACCGCGCCACCAGCAGCAACTTAACTTGATGTCATTTGCCAGCCATGGGAGCGGAGATGGCAAAGAGTAAGTGCTCAGGCAGGACATGTCCAGTAGTTGTGGTTATTATTGTTTGGAGTGATGCTCTCAATGCCTTAGGGCATTCACTAGTCCAATTCTTGTTTATATCGTATTGAAGAAAATCATCATTAAATGGCATATCCCAGTCAATCCTCGATATCGGATTGGCAGTATTCCTTAATATAACACAGTAATGATAATGATAGTAATAATATCAACAATTCAATAATAAAACAATAGTTTAATAATAGTATATACATCTAAAGTCATCTAAAAACATGTATGTATATAGTATATGATATACTGTACATCTTTTTAATTTATACAATCAGCATCTATGATTGCCATGTGCTATACTTTTCTTACGAAGAAAGGACTGGCCGGCTTCCGAGCCGTCTAAACGTCACGACCGTCGCTGCGGTCGCCAGGTGATGTTTGACTTTGATGATTTGGAACGAGCCATCGAAGCCAAGGCTCAATGCTGTCGTGTGGGCTGGGGTGATTCAGCTCTCAACTGTTGCAACAGGAACGACAGTTCCACCAAATAAGCATTGTAGATTGATCGTTGTTGCAACATTGTTCAACAACGCAAGCTAAATGCAGCCATTGGTGAAATTGTGTGTTTACAAGCTAAACCACTGGTTGTTCCCATTGACATCTCTTTCTTTTAAAAAAGGGCACCCCAACCCCAACAAGGCGATTCCCCGTGCTTAGCTAAGTTGGTTTAGAACTGAGTTATGTTTTTTTTTTTAATCCCTAAATCTAGTTAGCTGGGTTTAAACATCAACCAAGAAAAACAACATCTATCATCATCTATCCTGGTTTCCCATTGCCATCACCACGTCACGCCGTTGCATGACAGGTTTGTGAAGCGCCGGCTGTAGTGCGGGCCAAGGCTGAATCAACAAAATGGGTGCTACAATTCCATGGAGGGAGACATGTCTTGACACAATATGACACCACAATATGACACCACAATATGACACCACAATTGCAATATATTGCAATATATTGCAGTTCACCAGTGGGTGGACTGGGGGCTTTTTGCCTTTCAAACATGACAAACCCAAATTTCAATCCTAACTTTGGGGTTGAACATGTGCCCATTGAACTTGGCAATGGACATTGCCCCGTTGATAGCCGAACAAAATGTGAATAGATGGCGAACATTGTGATATTTCAGTGTCAGGGAGGTAGTGCAGATTTACCTGATGGATCCCGATGGTAAAACCTCAAGACCCTCAAGCAACGGGCCAGCACGATATTGAAACATGGGAATGGGTCAAAACATATGATTTGCCCATGCGAATGGGCGAACTAGCTCAGTCATATTCAAATGCAAGAGACTAAAAGTTTGTTGATGGTTTGGCCCCTACGTAGGCTATCCAAAAATAGGTCCTCACTGAAGCTATCTAAATTGATTTGGGATGATTTGGGTGTCTTGCAACCATGCCTTGCGACCGCAGACCAGAAATCGTAGTCACTTGTGTGTCCCTGTGGGTCCCGACAGGTCAAGCCCCACATAAAGAACAACCATACCAAGGTCGCCAGGGACTCAGTCATCCGAGATCACAGTCGCTATGCTACCTTGTATGACATTGACACGGCTATCCTGCACAACTTGGAATCTCCAACATCTTCAACGACTGAGAGGGACACTATTCTGGTTGGTGGTTTGGAACATGAATTTTATTTTTCCATATATTGGGAATAGTAACCCCAACTGACTAATATTTTTCAGAGGGGTTGAAACCACCAACCAGAAGTGTTAATACGTAATTTTGTCAGTCTGTTGGTGCTCCCTTTGCGCTTTGCAGCTTTCGTGCTTTCGTGCTTTCATTCTCATGGGGAAAAAAGTCATCCCAGATCACAGTCACCAATCTTGATGGGTTCGGCCTATGACAGAGATACAGCAGATCGCTTGGGGAGACGGGTCCCACAACTGACAACTTGCGGAAAACATGAAGCAGACAAGGTGTCAATGTCATGTCAGTTAGGTGATTATGAACCGCTGAAAACATGTTGGAACCAACATTTTCTCCACATCTCACCCAAATGCTTGGTGACTGTCACAATGTGTATGCTTGGATGGTAGGGGTAGGGGTAAGTATGGGGGCTTTCCTTGCCGCAAAGTGCAGGTCCGCATTTGGGCAATCTCCGATCTTCACACAGATGACCACCACAACAAGGACTGAGTCCTCGCCATCGTCATCTGGGGCCATGATTTGTCGGGATCCCTAAAATTATGCATCAAAGCACCGGTTCATACTCAACATCCGCATATGATCCCAAATCTCTGTGTCATATGTGTCATGTAACTCCCCTCAAAAAAAACCTGGTTTCTGGGATGTGTTTAATATGTTTCATATGAACGAATGGGATGACATGTCAAAAAAATGATGTGTGATGGTATTGCTCACAACGGCATGGCTTCATCCCAGTGTTGTTTTAGATTTGGGGTTTCTTTGTGGTCTGTACCGGTTAATAGGGGGTGAACCAACAGAAATATGGAGGTTTAATGGGGGTAAATAGGGTACCCTCTGGTACTTTAACATAGCTATTGCAAATCACCTTTTGTTGAACAGGCAAATCATCGAACTATATCGAACTATACCAAACTATATAAATGAGTCATGTTCCATAGCATAGCTATGTGAAAGTACCGGAGGGCACAAAAAAAATCCCAAGGTGTGCAGAATCCTTGCTGCACCCGATGTTTCAAAAATCGTTTATTTTCATCTTTGGTTCTTAGATATTTTCTTGTTTGTTTACCGTAATACCTAATATTTCGAGCTATTTCGAACCAAACCTGTTTGGGTTTGGCTGGTCCACAGATTACGGCTTTGGCATGCTGTAGTACGATTTAGCCATGGATTTCGCCATGTTTTTTAAGGATACCCAAGGTTGGCCAGGCTTGTCTGGTGGGTGTGGGATTTTGTCTAACACAGCTATGGTCTGGTCGAAATTTTGGACCCCCAAACCCGCAGATTTTGGGTTTTGTTCTGATCTATATTTTGTTAAATATTATTGTTAAATAAATATTATTGTTAAGTACTTACTCTCCATTTTGGGAACAATTTTAGGTTCTGACTGCCATGATCACCGGCCTGATCGAAGGAGTGGCTAGATGAGCTCGAAACCAAAGGCGCCGCAAACGATGTACTCATTGTGGCTTGGTTTTGAAGATGATTTTTCTAAGATCGAAGTGCAGCAGGCTGAGTGGTACAACCCCACAGGCTTCGGAGTCGAAAATGGGGGGAACACCCCAAAAAGGTTATTTTGATGCGGAAAATGACGACAAAACCACACAATTTCGGAACCCATTTGTGGCTTGCCTCACTGCCGAGGTGGCTGGAGATATCTCCCATAAGTGGGACATCATCAAGGATACATTAAGCTTCTTGAAGGCGCATGGGGCAAACATGTGTAGCATCCCGGTTGAAAATTGCCGCGGTTGTACCGTTGTACCAACTGTTTTTTGGACACAGGGTTTTGAATGTTTTTGTGAGTTTGTGTGTTGATTCTCCTTGGAAGAATGTGGGAACCGGTCTGTTTCCGAAGCTCTTGCATTTTGGCAAGGACTGAGCATTAAGTATCAGCATGCAACCTTGCGGTTTGCACAGCCGCCGATTTCCCGAGAAACTGGTTTGGCGCCGCAATGCCAATACATGTCATTGCAACAGCATGTCGTCCTCTCACTGACGGCCCTAGTTCTAACATGTTCTAAGATGTTCTAACAGCACTTAGTGCTCGTCAGTTCTCAGCTACCTAGTGAGGTGGCTATCCTGCTAGTGGTTCCCATATTTCGTTTCATCCCCTTTTCATAGCCACAGATCGCCTTCCAATCGCCTTCCAATCGCCTTCCAATCGCCTTCCAATCGCCTTCCAATCGCCTTCCAAAATGAACAAAAAAAAACTACCGAATCACGACCGCAGGCGCGCTATGCAAGGGTTTTCTACTGCCCTGGAAATCATGAGTGCAGCTCCCCAGACCAGCAGCTGTATTTTTCCGTGCAGAGATCATCCATTTGATGATGCTCATCATGCACCTTTAATTAATGTATAATTATTCATCATGTAATTACATGTAATTACGATGTATGCACAAATCAAACACGAATTCTCCATCCACAATGATCCGTAATTGTCAGATGATCATAATAGTGATGAATTGTCCATTATCAGATGATCATATCCATTTTCTTCCACGCTTTTTCTATCGTTTGAGGCTTTGGGGCAACGCCCAAGAGGACGGCGGTTGTAACAACACATGGCTTGCGAGGGTGTTCATAGGCCTCAGTGTGTTAGCTAAGTTGATGTATAACTCCAAGTTCACTGGGGTTTATGATGGTTTATGATACATATATAATCATATATAATCATATTTAGTCACATAATGTCATATAATGTCATATAATGTCATATAATGTCATATAATGTCATATAATGTCATATAATGTCATATACCTATAGTATTCTATAGTGAAGTTGGTTATCAACTTATAACTGGGGTAGCACAACCTATAACTACCGGAAAACTATGGGGTCAAAGATACTCAGACATGATATCAGAGATGTTCTTCAAACTGTAACGCATCCGCAAAAAGCATGATTTTGCAGCACTTTACCCCTTCCGTGTCATCTTCAAACCGCTTTAACCACCTATCGTCATGAAACATTCCCGCATGTTGCATCAAACCATCCAGACTAGAAATGGGTATAAGCAAGTATTTACTAAATTTACTGTACCTTTTAATCATTCACTGGGGATATAGCATTAATAAGTGGCTTGAAGTCATGAAAGTGCAAAGGGGTCAAATCGTGGGAGTGTGCCTCTTTTATTTATTTTTTTTTTAGGGGATGGTCATCCGGAGAGATTTTCATAGGGATTCATATGCCCAGTACGATAGGGTTCTCAATGGATTGGTTTTCACGGGAAAATCTTAACCGGAAACCATCGAATTTCCATGAAATCTGGGGCTGTCCTGTAAAATTTCCCAACAAAACCAATACATTGAGATAGGGTTCCCATAACATGGGATGATGACTATTATACACCACATTCATCCCATGTTACTTGACCATCGTACATTCATGGCAGCCCAAATGTTCATGGTGAACCCCCATAGGGGAATCGTCATGAATTTGTTGAGAATTCTATAGTCATTACGTTAATTCTTGTTTTGGGATGGATGACCATACCAGTAACTATCTAACTTGACAATTTCACACATGGCTACCCGGATATTCCTGGTGATTCCAATTGGTTGGTGGTTTGGAACATGTTTTGTTTTCTTCCATATATTGGTAATAATCATCCCAACTGACTTTCATATTTTTCAGAGGGGTAGGTCAACCACCAACCAGCCAAATGTTGGACAATAAAACCCTCATACCTTCCTATGTTTAATCCCATTCTTGATGATTTACCCGCATCCCATGTTTAGCATCGCTAAATTGTTGATGGCTATATACATTCCATGAAACTACGACCTATGTATTCATCTAACTTGACCATGTTTATCTATGTTTTTGCTTCTAATCCCATTATCCATATCATATTCCTATTATATGCCCATTATATCCCTATTATTGCCTCATAAATTGGTTGTTTATATAATCCACAACTGTGCTGGTTAACCATGGCACATGAAAAAATATAATTTATCTTGACCATGGCACATACAATCCCTATGTTTTAAATGGTTGGATTCCCACCAAATCATCATTATATCCTTTCTTTTATCTCCATTAAATGTCCATCATATTCCATCAATCATCCCCACAGCTGTTCGCCATTCAATCTGAATTTAGTCTCCATCTATTCATATCTAACTTTTCCTATGTCTTACCCTCTGGTAATTTAACATAGCTATTGAAAATGGCCATTTATAGTGGATATTCCCATGAAAAATGGTGATTTTCCATAGCTATGTTAGTTTACCAGAGGGTAACCCATAATCCCATGTGTTTCCCATGTCGCGCCAGGATTCCATGCGCCGTTTCCATGCGATCCTTCAGCTTTGTCAACAGCTGGGGGTGGAGACGGCACCTGCGGAGGCATGGAAATTTTACCCACGAAAAATGGAGAAAAAATCCTGGGCTTAGATGATTTATGATCATTTTTAAATGTGTGTTTAATATATCCATAAAATATCAAAATGTGTGTTTTACATATAATTTTCATATATATTTTCACCATTAGAAAATGAGATATTAGAGTTGATTCTTTAGGATTTGAAGGTGGTTTTGAGACGATTTCACTGGCAAACATGGGGAAAGTGGTGATTCTTGGCGTCAAAACACACACTTGCTAGAATCACTTCACTGTTACTGTATATATCAAGCATGATCAGGTCCCCAGAAACAATTAATTAATGAAAACAACATTGGTTGAAAGGGAGGAACTCACCCCTGGCAAAATCAAATTCCAGCCCCATCGCTCGCTCTTGGTAAAAACGGCTGATTTTTTTTGGGGGGTGACCTTTCAATATTTATTCAATGCCAGCACAAGATTGTACTTCCCACACCTGCCCTGGTCCTGTTCTCTTTAAATGTTTGGACGGGGGCTGTGGCTGGCAATTTCCTCAAGGTAGCGGAATCTGGCATTTATCCAATCCAATTTATTCCTTTTGGCGACCTTTGATTCGTACACTCAGCCACATCGAGGATATGTAGTGGCAGCTCCCTTTATCCACCCCACGTATGATCTGCACAGGTTTCCCTGCATTTACATTTCATCTGTACCGGGTGTTTCTTTTCCCTTGTGTTGGGCCAGATACATGGTTTTTGGCCGATGCGCAGTGTCACACTGTTGACCTAGAAAGGCTATTGTTTACCCGCATGATCGTATGTTTGGGTCGTCTTCCTGCAGAAATGTTGATATATTTATATAATATGCCTTATACATGGAGCATTAGCATTTTGGTATCGAGAATAATTCCTTCCCAAACAAGAAGTAGTGGAAATTGTTTGATCTATTTATTTTAGAGGCTGGCATCTAAAAACTATATATTCATGTTTGAACGGGAAGGTTCAGCACCGTAGGGTTGCCAAAAATATGGATACAGGCCGAAATTATCCACCAAAAATGGATTGGTTTTGTTGGGACAATTTACAGGAACCCCCTATGATCTGAATGGGAAAAACCCTGGTTTCCAATGAACCAAAATTTCTCGGATTTTCTTATGCCAATTTCTCGGAGGTGGCAGTGGGCGACCGACGCGTGCTGATCGTGCCCATCATGGCAGCTTGGAGAACCTGCCGTTTTTGGCCCAGCAAGATGCTTGTTGCATCCTGGGTACCCACTGGTTCTTTAAATGTTGGGGCTTAAATGGGCTTAATAGGGGTTGAACCAACCAAAATGGAGGTTGAATGGGGGGAAATAGGGAGTTACCCTCTGGTTATGGCTGACATAGTTATAGAAAATCATCATTTTTAATACGTAAATAGATCGGGAAATCATCCTTAATGGATTTGCCGGTGCACGGGGAAAATGCGTGTCACAACATGGCAGTAATAGAGTTAATAGAGTGTTGGGTTCATTCTTTGGCAGAGGTTTGCAATGTGGCTTCGCAATGTGCCTTTTGGGTATGCGGCGTTCTTTTTTTGGGGGGGGCAGTTTATCACTACATTGATGAAAACATAGCACCGTTTACCCTCTGGTAAACTAACATAGCTATTGAAAATGGCCATTTATAGTGGATTTTCCCATTAAACATGATGATTTTCCATAATTAGTTATGTTAAATTACCAGAGGGTATCGTTATATATATTGTTATAACAATCATGTTAAATCAATGGTGAGAACACCTTCGCAGGTGAAATCGACACGGAGCACAAACATCTTTGACGAGATAAACAAAATCCGAAGATCCACAGATTTCACCCCCATAGCAATATCTGATGGGAAACCCATGGAAACCCATATGGTTTTCCCATGATTTTCCCAGCATTTTCCCATGATTTTCCGATGTTTCCGGATGGAAAAAATATGAAAAAATCCCTCCGAAGCCATCGAAGTTTTCGGCCAAGTCGTGGCACCACCCGCAGTGGGACATGGAGCCAGAAATCCAAGGTGCGATTTTTTTTGGTCGTTCCGGGAGGATGTCAACCTGGAATCTACAGTAAGATTTCATTTGAACTCAATGTTCTTGCTGATGATGAGGATTATGGCATATTATGGCAAAGATGGTTCTTTCGAAATTTGGCAGCCAGATAGTTTTCCGTTTCTTTTTCCATTCCAAAAGTGGTAGATAAATCGCAGAAAGGACAGTTGTGACGCTCGTACGTTCCGCTGACGAGGTTGGCGAGGCTTACTCCCTGTGGACCAGATGCTTAGCAACTGCCTTGATGGGAGACTGGGGAAGATCAGGCTTTGATGCCTTGACTCAAAGAATTATCCTGAAAATAATTGTTATGTAACTATCGTGTACTATCGTTAGTTATGGTCGCTGTGGTTAAGTTAACGTATACGACTTTTAGATAGTTGTTGCTTTCCAGCCTCAGTTCCTCGTATCAACATGCATGTTGTATGCTGAATCTATCATCAGCGATGCCTTTTACAATTTATGGAAATGAAGAGGGTGCATTCACGGGGATAGATTCATTTATGTTTTTTTCAATTTATGGTTTGCCATCTGGTAGACTAGCATAACTACGGAAAATCACCCTTTTTAATGGGTAAACCAACTATGAATGGCGATTTTCAATAGCAAACTGTTAGTTTACCAGAGGGTATCATGGTTTATCCCACAATTTATGGAATTTCTTTTACCATGGCCTGGGGATGCCTAGATGGCCGTGAACACCGGAGTGTACCGTTTTGGAATGGAATAGGTGACTTCATTGGTCATTGGTTGTAACACAGTTGTACTTACCCTCTGGGGATTTTTTATAGCTATGGAAAACGGCCCATTTATAGATTCGTTTATGATGGTTTAGCTATAGATAATTAACAGCTAATTTTCCATAGCTACCCTCTGGTAATTTAACATAGCTATGGAAAATGATAGAAAATGGTCATGGAAATAGTTGAACTATATTTGTCAAACATGGTGATTTTCCGTAGCCGTGTTAGTTTAACAGAGGGTATATTTTCATGAATCAATCTGGACATGAAAACATGGGAAAACATGGGAACACAGAAATTCAAAGCTGCAAAGCCCCATTGGATCCGTCTTGCATCCGTCGGACTGGGAATTTGCGGGACACGGTGGACTTAGGTGATTACCCACTGACTCACTGGCCAGAGGGGATTTGTATCCAGGCTGTAGGGTGGTACAGGGTGACCAACCGGAATGGGAGTCCAAATATTCTTGTTATATATTTCTTTTGCACATTTATGCGCACATCTTGAATCAGGTTCGTAATCATATGTTTATAGCGGAGCGGGTTTTTTCTAGCGCTGTTGCTGCATTGACCACTGTGTGGACCTAGTTGTTATGTTGATTCCAATCGACCAGGGATGGTCAAGATGGTGTTGAACCGAAGCAACAAGATCCCCTTAGCGTATCCAGGAATCCATAGGCTTAAATCAAATCATAAGGTACCCCCCAAAAAAATCATAGTTTTTCCCTTAACATTGCCAAACATATCCATCAATCAAAATTAGCACCGCATTAACCCTCCAATTAATCTCCATTCATATCCATGAAACAGGAAATAGGATGTAAGAAAAAATGTGTTCCCTGCATTTGACCCAACATTTCGCGAACATTTTTAATAGGAGCTATTCCTAAGGTCCTACAGGATGGGGCCCCCAAGATAGCGTTCAGTTGCCTTATAAGTGGCTTAACTATGGTTTATGGTAGATATAACGAACTAGTTAATGGATGTTAATGTCATAGAATTGGATGATGGGAAAATTTACAGGAAAGCCCTATATTTGATGGTAAAAACCATGGTTTCCTGTATATTTTCCCTTAAACCAATCCAGTGATAATGGGTTTATAAACCAATTTATAACTGGGGGGCACCATCCTGTAAGCATTCCTAAGCCCTTTTTTTCACCCAAGCCATCCGAAGCGCCGAATTCTTTTGGCAGGACGGTTCTGCAGCCCTGGCTATAGTAGCTCAGCAATGGATTTTTGGGAACGTTTGGTAATGTGGGGAACCCAATGAGAATGGAAATTCAATGGTAATTTAATGGCGATTTAATGCGAATATTATACAATTTATACCATATATGGATTATTATGGAATATTCAGTGGGGAATATGTAACAAACATACGCACTACCATGACTGGGGATGGTTGAAATCCCACCCATTCAGCTGATGACTTCGGGATGGTTGATGGGATGGGGTGAATCCCACATTACATCCAATCTTTGTGAATTGGATGTGTATATGTTCGAACCATGCTAACAAGCCAAAAACTATGTTGAAAAGGTATCAACGAAGATTGGCCATGTATCCACACACGTAGAAATATAGAAGATCTTGCGCCAAACCAACCCAAGCACCAATTTGAGGGCAATGAAGTTGTTGTTTTTTGAATGATATATGGGCTACTGGCCATCGCCCTCGCCATGATGGCTCTTTGTCTACATGGTGGGCGTGTCACTGGTCCACCTCAGAATGTAACCAACAGCGTATCCCAAACAACACAAGCTCTCAAGATTGCCATTGGGTGGTCTGTGGTTTCCTATGTTTTCCCCATTTTCACACCCAAACATCATGTTGTTGGTTCTAATTACCGTATGCATCAATATGATATATCTAATCTATATCATCTCCCAATAGATTCCCATTCCTTGGTCATTGCATTCTTTGGTATTTCTTCACCGCAGTTCCAGCTGTGATATGAGTCCGCCAAGGACAAAGTCAACGATGAGTTGGTTGATTGGATCGACTTGCTCCAACGCAGACACGAATACCAGGAGGCCATGGCATTGATACACTGACGTCATCTGACGTCCCATTCGTTCAATTGAAGCAAAACACACACAGAAGCCAACAATGCGCAGAAGTTCCAAATACCCCCAACACGACTGCCATTGTTTTCCAGAAATGGCGTGTTTTCCGAATTTCCCCAGCCGATGATTGCAGTTTTTTGCCAAATATCAGCGGTTTGAGGCAACCTTTCATGCATCCACATCCCCCAGTTTTGTTCCCTCATTCTGTGTTGGTGCAGGTTCTGTCCTTCTCACACTTCTTGCCAAAAGTAGAGAATAATCCGGAGAAGAGGTACCTGACCTATCCGAACCTCGTGCCATTCTCAAGTGCTTGGAACAGCAGCTAGTTTGCTTTTCATCGTGGAGGTGAACATGAAATAATAATATGATGAAATGGTAGAGAAACAACCAGACGAAGTGTTGTAAATTGAACACATCAGATATAAATATTAATGGTACATTGATATATTTGGAGTAGATAATATCAATGGTGATGAGAGAATCATCATGGCCAATGAGATTCGCACTGTGCTAGGTGGGCCCCACGAGGCATCTTTAAAAACCATAGAACTCAGCCAGTTCTAAATCACAGCCATACATCGTCAACGGAATTGTTTTCAGCTATAAATCCCATTCTATTGATAAAGAGTATGCGATAATGGCGATAATGATCATTGATCATAAATCCCATTAAATCCCATTAACCATCATTTCGCAGACCACAAAAACGGCGATTCAATTCAATTATAGTACCCTCTGGTGAACTAACATAGCAATGGAAAATCACCATTTTTAATGGGAAAATCCACTATAAATGGCCATTTTCCATTGCTATGTTAGTTCACCAGAGGGTATAGTATATAATTCAATTGAAATGCCATGGTGCCTTGGTTTTTGTGCCTTACATGTCACCATTTTTCGTGGCAAAAAAAGGGGCCTTCAAAAAGTCACCAGCTAAGCCTAGGCCAAAGGCATCGGCTCGGACTACCTCCGAAGACGGGTGGAGGAGTTGCGCCCGAATCTCCATGCGCCCCGATCAATAAGCGAGCCATGGTGACCTGGTGGATGGGGAAATGGTCCCAGAAATCCAAAAGATTTGAAGATCATGAAGTGATGGATTGGGAATTACACCATGGAATTACATGGATCTAAGATTATGGACAAAATCTTCAATAACAATTAACAATAAATTACACCATCTCAATTAACAATAATGAGACCAAAAACCACCAAGATTGTGGGAATTACAATGAATTACACGAAAAATTGGGATTCAACCAGCAAACAGAGGGATATTACTAACATGGGATGATGGATTTGTGGGAAGCCAACCCAGGACACATGACCCGAGTTTGCCACCTGTTTCTGTTGGATTTTCAGACATTTTCCCAGATGACAGAGGACCGGGAACTGTATTGTGGCAATAACTGAGAATTGTTTGATCATCATCATAATCATCATCATCATCATCACCATGTGTTATAAAATGATATAGATATATTATAGATTCATTTGTTATAGGTTTATAAGATTTATATAAGATTTATATAAGATTTATATAGATTCATGTGTTATAAAACGATTATATAGATAATGATATATTATATTTGTGTGTATAGTAGTACATTTGGAGATTTACATTAATAATAATGATCAGCATCATCACCAGTTTCCCCGCTTGGCCGTGATATTCTCGCGGACCACCCTGGGAAGGTGTTTGGCCACACGCATTTCGGTTATGACCTGGAGGCGGATGTCGCCACCAGCCAGCCAATCTTACATGGGAGATCCTAAGGCGAATATCTCGACAAGACTAGTGAGCGATTTAGACCCAGTTTCCTCCAAAAAACACTATTCCATGGAAATGGGTAGTATGAAATCGTTATAAATTCATATAAATGCTTTAGAACCCACATATATATATATATATAATCGATATCCATTTAAATCAGATCCATAAAAATCCATATAAACCCGTATAATTCAACGACCCTCACAGCGGTTCCTGCCAGGTGGAGGGCATTCGCTACGTGCAAGCACCACTGTCCATGCGCGGGAACTCGTGACTACCGCTCCCGGAGGCTGGAGGTCATCCTCCGGAGCTGGGAAATCCCCGAACGAACTACAGTAACTATATAGTTTTTTCAATGAGAAAAAGCGGTGAATCGGAAAAATCATGGAAAAAACATGGAACTATATAAATGGTGGGTTTTCCATGGTTTTCCGGCAAGCCATGTTTGATACTTGACATGAAACTGAAGCGAGATGAAAAGAGTTTCCTGGCACAGCCAATAAGAAACCACGCCCTGTGCAAGTTTACCACGTGGGGTAGTATGAAAGACCGTACGCCCTCACACGTTAACGTTTTACCTTTTCTGACACATTTGTTACATAGCTATGGAAAATAAATATGTAACATATTATGGTATTAAGTATGTTACATAGCTTTGGAAAATATATCATCAATGGATAATCAGATGGATAATTGCTTTTAATTACATAGCATTTGTCACCAATTATCCATCTGATTGCTGATTGCTTGTGCCCCCAAGTTGTCCTCGCTGGACCACCAGCCAACATCCGCTGAGGTCCTCAGAACGACATTCCCGTGGAACCACGGTGGCCGCTTCGCCTAAACAACATGCTGTTGATGGCAACTTCTTGGAATCTGTTGTTTTTTTCACGATTTTAGGGTGATTTCATGGGAAATTATGGGGAATGAATGGTTATTTCATATATTTCATGGGGTTTAATTGGATTCTGTAGTGATTCAATGTGATTAAATTGTATTAAATTAGATTTTTATAGTGCTTTCATGATGATTCATGGGAATTACTTCTGGTTTACCGGAAGGTTTAATGGAATAATCAATCACATCATTTGCTGGAAAATCCACCGTTACAGATGATTTTCCCATTTCAATGGCCATTTAGTTCGGGGATTTCCCAGCTAGCCAGGCTTGATTACCGAAGGGTGGTTCAAAACTAACTGCAGCTACAGTAATTGCTTTGAAGAATGTTAAATCCATTTGAGGTTGAACATTGTCATCATTTTCTATACCATGCGGTGTCATGAAACATGAGTTTCCCAGCTATGAGCCTCCATATGCCTCCATTGATATATGGTTTTGCCAGCTATAAATCGTCAGTTATGATCTTCCCAGCTATAAAATCATCAAGACCTTCATTGGTAGATGGGTTTAGCCAGCTATAAACCAGCTATAAACTTTCATTCAACCATGGTTTTTAAATCTTTTTAGCCTTCAGAAAGCCCCAGTGCAGCAACCGAGGCACTTGGCGACTTCCCAGACGGCTTGCCGTTTTCGCACCCGTTCATGGCCGGGAAGCTTCGGGATGGATTGGGCACGGCACGGGCACAAGGTCGGTTGCAGCACATGCCAAGAAACAGACTTTTTTTAATACTTATTTTGAAATAGATATACTATGGAGAAGAGACCTAGGGCGCATTGGCCTGAAATTGCTCTCTCAGAAATTCTCAGAAGCTTTTCGCCGTTCTGAGCAACTTAGAAGAAATCAGCATCCCACCACCCAAGAAATTTCCCATCCAATGTACGCCACAGGCACCCAGCCCATGGTTCACATATATTTTGGACCTTCCCTTGCAGACTGGTATGATACCACTGCGATCTGGAACACGCTCTCCCCAATAGCAATGGACCGCGACGAATGGGATCAAATTGTTTTTCCGCGGAGTTTGATAATTCACTCGAACACTGCTGACGTGTAGTTCGTACAGTTACAGCCGCTGCTTGGACTGCATTTCGCTTGGCAAAAAAGATATACTATGATATACTGATCTACTATGATATACTGTAGTATACTGTTATACTTATGGTTGACTGTTTCTTGATGCTTTTTGGCTCTTAATCTCTCGTTGGAAGACTAGTGTATATCTTGGGATAATGAATGATGACTTGGCAAAGTGAGCTCCCGTTTTCCCAACACGAGGCCGATTCGTAACTGCAGATGTAGTGTGTAACCGGGTCACTTATTAAACAAACAACCTTCGAGCTCGGATATCTTGGCATTTTTACCTTGAAACCGCGTTCCATCTTCAATCATTTGATTGATTTAAGCGAAATTTTGCACGTTCTAAACCCATTATGGGAAAAGGCATGGTTTCCCGTGCCCAAGAAACGATCAATTTTTTCCACTTGAGGTGTGGCATTCGCGCAGCGGCTGGGCACCAAAGAGCCTGGCCCCCAGTCGACCAACATAGAGCTATAGCCAAGTTGTTTGTGGCGTTTTCCGAAACGAACATGATTTACAAATGGTGGATTTTGCCATGAATCGACTCTAGCTTTTAATCATGATCCATGCGATCCCCAATGGATTCCATTTAATCCCAGGACATGTACACTTTAACCACCATTTACATCCATGAATAGCCACTAGTCCATTATCCATTTTCCCATTAATGTAAATGATAAATATGATATGATGCAAACAAAATCACAGTAAATTGTAACATATTCATTATCCCATTACAAGTAAATATAACGGCTAACATCATATTGAGTTATTGGGATAGTGGTCAATCAACAAACTACATCATTTTATAGTTACGGTGGGTGATGGTCAATCATATAACATCATTATTGTTTATATAATACATAGAGAGTTATAATTTTAATTATATATGTATTCCATTGCATATGTACAATTGAATAAACCAAATATAAATCAATAATATATCATGGAATCAATACATCATTTTTGTTGAATACATTATATATATATATGTATATATATACCATTTGGTTATTTAACATAGCCATGGAAAGATCCACCCATTTTTTATAGGTCAACCATCTATTTCTATGGGCCATCTATACCATGGCGATGTTAAATAACCAGAGGGTATACATATAGTTAAATTCCATTCCGTACTCCATGATTTTCCAGGGTATCACCCAAGTGGCTCAGGTCAGGGCGCTTGGTCGGCCTATGTCGAGCGCTACGGCCGGCGGCCGGACGTCACGCCAGGGGAGCCCAGATGGATCTCAGATTTTTCGCCAAGGCCGCAAGATGCCGCAAGAATCCAGAGACAAATGGTGAAAAACTATAGGAAGATCTAAAAGAACAATTTTTGGGATTTTGGATGATTTTTTAGCTTATTTTAGCTGACTTTTAAGGTTTTTTTTGAAAGTCTAATAGAGGATGAAATCTCAAGTCACAAGTGTCAACAGTGCAAAGGAGCTGCCATTTGTCACCGCGAATGCAGAAAAGTGAAATCTGGCTAAGGGCCCTTGGACAAAAGAATCAAGGAATGAATTCAGTGGACATGCATGTGCCAACAGTGAATGAATCGGACAGCACAGAACTTTCACCGGTATACTTTTCTTTGGCACTTGCATGTTCAATGGCTTCTTGCGTGGTGATGCAAACAGGGTCTTTCAGCCACCTTGAAAAGTTCTCACGAAGTTTTGCATCAACTTTGGTCAAGCCATCGCTAAACTGGTACTGCGTTGGAACCCAACGAATGCTCTCTAACGGAGCCTGCTCTTGGAGCGATCGAATGCTCACCAAGGTTCGTTTGTCGTTTAATGTTGGGTTCTCTGAAATTGCAGCATCGAACAATGACTTAGCATCTACTAAGTGTAATGATGCCAGTCTTGTGCCTACTCTGTGCGCAGGTGTGTTCCACAGCAATTCACTGAGGAAAAGATTCACGTAAGAGCACCTATCTGCTGCTTCATCTGCTGCTGATGCTTCTGCTGCTAGTGTTGACCTACAAACTCTGGGCGATCTACTAGACTTCCAGTCAATGATAACAAAACTGGAAACTGCTTCAAACACTTCTGGGCTAGTGATTCCAATCAGTGTGCCAATCTGGCTACCACTCTTGTAGGCATTATTCCATGAGGAATCACTATAAGCAACTACTACGGAGCTACGGTTCAATGGAACACACGGGATCAGTAGACCTTGGTCAGGTGTGTTCTTTATGTAGTCAAGCATGCCATAGAGGGACTTTAGGTCGTTGACCCTAGCTTCAGCACCGTGAGGCACGAGACTAACTGATGCCGCCACTTCTGGTCTGCATTGAGTTGCAAGCCATTGAAGACATCCACACACGCTTCTTAGTTCTTTCTGCTCATGCTCATTCAAGTGGTCGTCTGTGTTGCGGCGTCTGATGACCTTTGCAGTATCGAGTCCTTGAATGAATTTCTTCATAGTGATATGAAGGTTGATCTTGCCGTGTTTGTCTTCTATGAGGGTCAACTCCTTGCCTTTAAAAGTCACTGGTTTGCCCACTTCCAGTTCTTGTCGAGATCCCCACTGAAAAAGATCATACACTTGTTGAATGGGAAAGTCTTGTCGATAAACTCCTACGAAGTCGTCAACATAGACTAGGACTGCTGCTTGCACTTCACCAGAGTCGGTGTATTTGACGTACAGCTGCTTATCAAACATGTGTTGAGTAAATTTCAAATGGGCGAGTCGGCGGCATACTTCACGTTGCCAGGTAATTGGTGCATTTGCAAGGCCGTACACGTTCCCCCTTATCCTTTACAGTGCGGCTGTCCAGTGATTTGTACGGCTGATAAGGCCGTCCCTTGGTGGTCGCATGAACAAAGGTCCATCTCGTTCCTGAGGGTCTTGAACTCCTTGGAGAAATGCTGTCTTTGCGTCTCCAATCCAAGTGATCCAAAGTTGTTGAGTATCAAACAAGCACCTGTTGGATCCACTTACTATCATCAGGAACATGATGTGCTCGGCGATTCTTCCAGGGGTTGAAGCATTCCTGGACAACTGTTGCAGGTCAGGGTCAAGATGGCCTAAGGCCACGATTCGGCATTTGGCAACGACATCACCGATGCCGCAAGCTTTGTCTCTGTAGCATGCCCGGCTGGGCAATATTCTCTTAGACAACACTGGGTCACTGAACACTTCTTGAGCCTGCTTGTCAGACAGGGGTTCTACTGATTGCCATTGTTGCCAGGCCACCGCCTCCTTGTCGATGGCGGCCAGGAACTTGTCGACATAGGATGGAGGCATGGAGAGGATGGTTCTCCATGGAATCTCGCGATCCAGTGCTTTGACTTCTTGTCGTGTCATGCCTTGCTTGTAGGCTGGTTGCATTGGCTGCAGTGCTGTCTTGCCACTTTGCTTTTGCTTGCTGCTCGTTTTGAGTGCTAGCTGCATTGTTTGGGGCTTGTTGACTTGCTCGGTCTCATCCGAGCTAGAGTCGTCAGTTGTGTCTGGCTCCTCAGGTGGCTTGTTCTCTTGCAAAACGTCTTGTTTTCTCTGATGTGTTGTCAAGTATGCTTTGTGGTACCTATTGCTCTTGGGGCCGAATCCAATCAGTGGTGATCCATCCCATTGGCTACTGACTCGTTGGATTTTGTTGTGCCCCAGTGGTCGCAATGTGATGAGGCTGTCAAATGTTCGTTTCTGTGGTAACATGTTGTCCGTGGAGTCATCTTCAACCTCAATCACTTGTGGTGTTTCTGGCACCACATCATGTTGCATTGTTTGAGAAGCCGAACTTTGAGCCGTAGACCCTTGTGTTGGGCCTGGTTGGTGTTGCTCGGGCTCTGTGGGGTCCAAAATGGTGTCCCCTTGTCCAAGGAATTGTGAAACTGTCTGCGGTGGCATATGTTCGAGGGATTGTTGCTCCTCGGTTGGCTGCGGCAAAGTCAATGTTGATGGTTGTTCATCAGTCATTGTCGCGGCAGGCGGCAAAATTGTTGGTGCTTCAGCTGGTGGTAGTTCAGCTGGTGGTTGTGAAACTGGTTTATCACGCACCTCTGTCCTCCGGGAGTTTGGTGTTCGTGACCTGTGCTTTCTGCTTCGGGTTGGTATGTCTCCGAAGCGTTGAAACTGCATCGTCTTGTTGGTGATATGTGTAGGACTGTCAATGTTCACCTGAATGGTGGACTGTTGTTGTATGACAGTATCTGATTGTCGAGGCTGCATCGAGGATGATGCTGGCTTGGCTGGTGGTTCGGTCTGTGGAACTGGTGTGGCAGGTACCATCATTGATGGTGTTGGTGGGATGGCAGCACTCTCAGGGTCAAAGATGTCATCATCCTCGATGTTCAGGTCTGGTGGTTCAGGACCCCGGTCATCGAGTAGCTGGTCTGTAAAGCTTGTAGATGCATTCTTTAGTGCTGCGACATCTTGGAGATCTGGTGCCCAATCTTCGAACCCAAAAGCAGCTCGAATTTGCTCTGCGGTGGCTAGGATTGTTGTTGCACCACTTCGAATCCAAGCTTGTTTTCCTGGGTGAGATGGGTCCCAACTCAAGAATCTGCCTATCACCCAAGTTCCTCTCTTACGAGGTCCACCTCTTCGGCTCCATCGCCAGAATGCACACTTCTGTCCTGGCTGCAAATCTGCAATGTTGGTCTTGCGAGTCTTCCGCAAGAGAGCTCGACGCAAGTGCTGGCTAACGTCGAGGTTGTGGAGTGTCTTGATGGCCTCATTTCTAACAAGGTCAGCTCGTAGTCCTGGATTGGTCTCATCCCTGATGGCTGAGGATGATGTGGCCAGGATCATTGGGTCGTTGAAGTTGCTATCTAGCAACCTGGGCTGCCTTCCAAAAACTGCCTGGTAAGCACTTCTTCCATGAGTTTGGATCTGTGAGTTGATGGCATGGCATGCTGCAGAAACCAAAACTTGACACCGTTCTGGAATGTCAACAGCAAATTGATCTATCAGCCTTTCCAAGATCAACCTCAGCACTGAGTTCCGTCGCTCTATCATGCCGATGATATGGTGAGCTTCTGGTGGACAGTAGTCCAGGTGGATGCCTATCGCCTGAACTCTATGTTGAAACATGCCCTTGAAGGAAGGATCAGGATCACAAAGAAGACGTAGAGGCAAACCAAAGGGTCGAAGCCAAAGATCATGGAGAAGCTGAAAACATGTTTCACTGTTTCGGTCGTCGAGAATGCCTGCTTGGTGCAATCCCGTGGCCCTATCGACTACGCCCAAAATCATGAAGGTGGTGGCTGTAACAGTACGGCAGTAGCATATGTCTGCCTGCAGCTCATCGTTGAACTGTCCCACTGTCAATGAAGGCATTGTTGAAGGCCTTGGTTTTTGTGGTGGTTTCAATCTTTCGCAAGTGGCGCATCGTAGATGCCGAACTGCTTGATAAACCATGTCTGGAACGTTGCCTTCGTAAGCCAACAGTCGACATAGTTCTTGTGATGTTGGATGTCCCAAATTGAGATGTAGTCGTGCGACAGTACGCTTCACCTCTTGGGACAGTGACTGCTGAGACGTACCTGGAAAGTCGATGTCGGTGGGCAATCCAGGGACAATCGCTGGTCCAGGTTCTGTTTGCTCAGGTTGCTGCTGTTCCGACGTTGCTGGCAGTTCTCGTCGGGCACCATAAGCAAACACTGCGTATCTGACAGTCTTGTGGAACTTCTGCTTTGGAAACCTCACATTGTCTAGGTCTTCCACTTCTACTTTGCGATCATCATCTGCAAAGAAGAGACAACATGCTCTAGTCGACCATTCGTCAACATTGCTGGGAATGCGCCTGGTAGTTGGGCTCGCAACTGCTTGGATCTTGATGGCGTCAATCCTGAAAAGTGATTGAATGTATTTCCCCATCTCGCTGTTGGTGGCGATCAGGAAGGGTCGTTTGCTTGATTGGCTGAACGCGGCATCAAGATGTTGATACACGGAGTCCCAAGCTGCCAGATCAGTCGTTGGTTGTTGGACTGGTAGTGCTTGATGGACTCCGCGCTGTCGAGTGCAGAAGCGCTGAGGTTGTAGCTCGCGAGCAACTCGTCTCAGAGCTTCCAGAATTGTTCTACAGAGTTCCTCAGGATAGGCCTGAGAAGCACGAGTGAGCTTCCCCTGAATGGGTGTGCATTGTTGCCGTTGTTCTGGGAGAAGTCTTCGAGAAAGTTGCTCATCAAGACCTGGAATGTTACCGATGAAGGTGATTGGTTTTGCAACATGGTGACCGTGAACCATAAGCCCAAAAACTCCTGAATCACATGTTACCGTCCATACTCCAGGAAGTTGTATCAACCGTTCCATCTCTGGGGTCTCCCACACTTCTGACCGCATCAGAAAGTATCTGTTGTTCTTCAACTGCTCTTCTGCCACT